GTGGTCTGCTGCGCCATGTGGGTCAGCTCCCTGGCCGGGGATCGAACACTGGGTGACAGCATTGAGACTTAACCCCGAGGCCACCAGGGAGGCCATGTGGGTCACCTCTCTGGCTGGCTGGGGAATCGAACTTGTGCTGTAGTGGCTGATTGTTTTTTTTCCCCTTTATGAATTTTTTAAATAAATTTAAGAACAACTCTACCTTCTCTCCTTTCCCAGAGCAACTAAAACCAACTAAAAGGGGGTGTGGCCTGGGGGGCAGAGGGCGCTAGGAGTCACAGTCCTCGTCATCCTGTGCATCTGGGGCTGAGGGACCCGGGGGTGGTGGGGGCAGAGGCAGAGTCGAGGTGAAAGGCATGAAGGGTGTCAGGGGGCTCAGCAAGGGGGCAGAGGGGTGGCTGGCCTGGTGTGGGGCGTGTGGTGGCTCCTCTTCTCCATTGGTGTCCGTGTCCTCAGACTCATCCTCCCTCTCTGAGTCCATCCCAGACAGCTTCTTGTCCTTGCCTGTGCTTCCCATGCTGCCATCCTTGCGGGCGCTGCCGCCTGGCTTCCCGCCCCTGCGGTTCCCCTTGTCCCTGTCTATGTGGTTGTCTTCCCCGCCCCCCTGCATGCCAGGCACTGAGGCTACCAGATCCTTCAAGAAGTCAAATTGTTGTTCCAACTCAATGCCCTGCTTCAGGGGGGATGTGGTTGTGGTCTTGGCGTGTCAGGACTGCGTCACCCGGCAAGCCTTCAAAAGTGACTCCAGAAAGAGCTCCAGCCCCCGGGAGATGATGACAGGCACGGCTGCTGCCACCTTCCCAATCTCTTCGTCCGTCAGCATGATCTTCTTGGTTTGCACCAGCAGGAACTGCACGATGTACTTCTTCTTGCTCGGCATCTCGGGGCACCTCGGGCCCAGCGCACTGCCTGCAGCCACCCAGTCTGGGGCCTGCATGCTGCCCACCTGCTGATTGCTTCTTTAAGGCACAGAGATTTTAATTTTTTTTAAGATTTATTTATTTATTTATACAAGCACTGGGTACAGTCAGAAGCGCAGGAGGGTGAGAGAATTCACCAGAGCCAGAGCGGGGAACAGAACAGTCAGACTGACAAAATACACTGCTGAGGGGAGCAGCGGGCATGGCAGGAGAGGTCTGCGCACCATGTGGGACCCTCACCTGTGGCCGGGGATCGAACTGGCGCTGCAGAGGCTGCAGGCAGCTTCGCAGCCCAGCGCTCAAAAGCTACGCCACCAGGGAAGACCCGATTTTTAATTTTTTATAATGCCCCAGTGAGAGAACTGCTGCCCTGGACTCAGCAGCCTCCCTATGGAGCCCCCTCACTTCCTGATGCCCTGCTCCTGCCCCCTTCCCACCCAGGAGATCCTGTCCTGTGTCCACTGGGACCATCTCCATTCTTTGCTCCCCTTTGCTGACGCAAGGAAGGGTGATGAGCTACTTTCTCCTAGCGCTGGGCATGATGTCCACATCAGAATTCAACCGAGAAAAGGCAGGAAAACCCTTATTATTAACCAAGTGGCTGCTGCTGATCTCGGTAAAAAGAAACTAGGTGTTGGGCCTCCCCGGTGGCGCAGCGGTTGAGCACTGGGTTGCAAAGCTGCCCGCGGCCTCTGCGGAGCCGGTTCGATCCCCGGCTTCTCCCCGGCCACCGGAGGAGGGTCCCCCATGGCGCGCAGACCTCTCCTGCTGCCCGCTGCTCCCCTCAGCAGTGTACTTCGGTCCTTCTGCCTGCTCTGCTCCCTGCTCTGGCTCTGGTGAATTCTCTCACCCTCCCGCGCTTCTGACTGTACCCAGTGCATGTATAAAAAACAAAAACAAAAACAAACAAACAAACAAACAAACAAATAAATAAATAAAAACATGCCTTTAAAAAAAAAAAAAAAAGAAACTAGGTGTTTAATTAGAAATTTGCCTGCAGAGCCTCCCTGGTGGCGCAAGGCATTAAGCACAGCACTGTCAAGCTATCCGCAGCCTCTGCAGCATGAGTATGATCCCCGGCCAGGGAGCTACCCACATGGCACAGCAAACCTCTCCTGTCTCGCCCGCTGCTCCCCTCAGCAGTGGATTGCAGTTAGTCGGTCTGTTCTGTTCCCCACTCTGTCTCTGGTGAATCCTCTCACCCTCGCACCTCTGGCCTGTACCCCAGCACTTGTATGCATAAATGAATAAATCTTAAAAAAAAAAAAAGAAATTTGCTGGCAATGGTGCTGTTATTGAGCACCCAGAACATGGAGCAGTAATTCAGCTACGGGGGGACCAGGGTGAGATCATAGGCCAGTTTCTTATAAAGACCAGACCAAGGACTTCCAGGTTCATGGTCATAAGTGCGTTGGCTCATTGATGCTTAAGTGAGAATTTCCTTGCAATGAGTAGAATTTCCTGTTTGTCCCTTGTCACAAATTTAACCACCTCACACCTTGTCTAAAGTCACAATTTGGGGTCTGGGGCTACTGTAACTCCTTCAGGTCATCAAGTGGAAAGAGTCAAAAGAAAAATAAAACACTCTTGTACTTCAAAGGTCACAATCAATAGAGGGAAGGGCAACCCACAGAAGAAAGATCAGCCGTGTGTCACTTCACAATGGGCAGTTCTGAGAAATGCATTGTTAGGTGATTTCCTTTTGGTGAACGTCTTAGAGTGTATGTTTTTCTCTAAATAGTACTTCTCCATTTCACTGGTGGAGCAATCCAAGAGGGCATCTTGGAAGAGGCGCTGGGTCACGCATGACTTTGTGTCCTGTACACTGGCAGTGTGTCCTACAATGTCCCTTGGCAATAGGAATTTGGAGACCACCTTAATACGTGGTTCTTTGTTACCTGATTATTATTATGCAAACTATATATCTGATAAGGAGTTATAATCTGGAATATAAAGAACTACAGCTCAAGAATATCAACTAAATAACCCAATTTTGAAATGGGCAAAGGGCTTCACTAGACATTTCTCCAAAGAAGGCATACAGATGACCAACAGGCACATAGAAAGGCGCCCCAATCACTGATCATCAGGAAATGCAAACCCTAACCCTGTGCGTTGCTGGTGAGAGTATAACATGGTGCAGCTGCTACAGAAAACAATTTAGAGATTCCCCCCAAAATTAAACAGAATGAACATATGGCCCAGCAATCCCACTTCTCTAGTTCCAGAAGTAATGAAACCATGATCTCAAAAAGATATTCACACACCCGTGTTCATGGCAACATTATTCACAGCAGCCGAAATGTGGAAGCCACCCAAATACGTATAGGTGAATGACAGGACAGACACAGCGTGGTCAGTGTACACAATGGAAAGCTGGTCTGTCAGGAGAAAGGAGGAAATTCTATCACCTCCTACAACATGGATGGACCCCGAGAACATTAGCCTGAGTAGAAGAAGTCAGTTTGCGGGCCTCCCTGGTGGCGCAAGGGGTTAAGCACCTCACTGTGAAGCTATCCTCAGCTTCTGCAGCGCAAGTTCAATCCCCAACCCGCCAGGGAGCTACCCACATGGTGCAGCAGACCTCTCCTATCTCACCCGCTGCTCCCCTCAGCAGTGTATTTCAGTCTGCCTGCCTGTTCTGTTCCCCACTCTCTGGTGAATCCTCTCACACACATCCCCCTACCTCTGGCCTGCACCCTAGTTCTTGTATGCATGAATAAATAAATCTTTAAAAAAAAAGTCACTTTGCAAAGAGACAAATACTGTTTGGTTCCACGCATGAGATACCTGGAGTAGTCAGAATCATGGAAACAGGTTGCTAGGGCCTGTTGGAGAAGGGGATATGGGAGTCGTGTTCATTGAGCGTAGAGTTTCAGTTTTACAAGATGAGACATTAACACCATAAATAAGTGCAATCATGAGTCACTTCTCTAAAGGAATGTTCTGAGAAGTGCGTGATCAGGCACTGTTGTCGCTGTGCAAAGTCATATAGCATGTGATTATGCAATCCTAGCTGGTGCAGCCTATGAGGACAGCTGTCATATACGGGATCCATTGCTGGCTGAGACATAACTACGTTTTGGTCATTGTATAATATGTTAGGAAGTGATAACGTCTATGGGAAAATACCAAGATCACGGGAGTGTGTTAGCTTCCTGTTGCTAATGTAACAAATCACAACATGCATGTTTTTAAATAGCCCGCAAATTTATTATCTCGCAGTTTTGAGTGTCAGAAGTCCAAAATAGGTTTCAGGGGCCTAAAATCAAAGACTGAGTTCCTTCTGGAGCTCCCAGGGGAAAAGTACATTCCTATGTACTTCAGCTTCTAGAAAGTGCCTGAATTCTTTGGCTCCCGGCCATGTCACTCCTCTGCCTCTGCTGACGTCACCTTGCTACATCTCCTTCTGATTCTGCCCTCCTGCCCTCTTATGAGGGCGATGTGTTTTATGTTCAGCCCATCGGTATCCAGGAAAATCTGAGCTCTAAAGTCCCCTTTACCGTGTAAGGTAACACATCGACAGATTCTGGGGAGTAGGAGGTAGATATCTTTCAAGAGACATTATTCTACCTTCAACAGAGAAGGAGAAGGGAGAGGAGTTGCAGTTTTAGGAGACTCTGGGAGAGAGGCTCACTGAGATGGTCTGCTGAAGGGAAGGAAGGGGCAGCGTGGATATTAGGGAAGGGCATTTTAGGAAGCTGGAACAGCCTTTGCAAAGGCCCAGATGTGGGTGCACTTCCTTTTTCCCCAGCGCCCTCTTTCCTTGCTGTCTCTAAACCACAGGGCTTAGAAGTTGGTGCTCGTGGGCCTCCCTGGTGGCACAGGTGGTTGAGCGCAGCGCTGTGAAGCTGTCCGTAGCCTCTGTAGTGCCAGTTCGATCCCTGCCGGCCTTGGAGCAACCCACATGGCGCGCAGACCTCTCCTGTTGCGCCTGCTGCTCCCCTCAGCAGTGTATTTCGTCAGTCTGCCTGTTCTGTTCCCTGCTCTGTCTCTGGCGAATCCTCTCACCCTCCCGCGCATCTGGCCTGTACCCTGACTCTTGTATAAATAAAAAATAAATCTTTAAAAAAAAATAGTTGGTGCTCAAGGATCTTGCTTGAGGATCAGAGGGTCTGAGACCCCTGAATCTTCATTGGTCTCTGGGCACAGTCTCTACTACCCATGGTTCCTCAAAGGGCAGGTCATCCTATGGGAGAGGCGGAAGCCCAGGTCAGAGAGGCAACAGGTCCAGCCCTCCCCTCCACCTGCCCTTGGGCTGGGTGGTCACCTTGGCTTCTGCGTGGCCCTGTCCGTGCAGCGTGCGCCTGCGGTGCCACTGGCGCAGAGAGGCACGGGCTTCATTGCTGAGCCCCTGAGGCGCGCGGTCTGTGTCCTCCTGGTAGTGGGCAATATGGTGCAGCGCCCCAAACCACGTGGTCAGGTAGTATCCAGCTAGGGGCAGGTAGAGGGTGGTCAGCCTAGCTCTACGTTGTCTTGGTGAGGTGGTTTGGGGAGCGGGTCACACTTGGGCGCTCCCTATTGGTTCCAGGCATTCTGGGGATCTGGGCTCACCCTCTCCCATGAGCTCCTCAGGGTCCAACAGTTCCATGAGAAACTCCACGTCCAGCTGAGTCTCCCCAATATCCGGACTCCAGATCAGTTCCTCAGTCAGTGCCGGCAAGAAGGCATCGGCCCCCAGGGGCTCTGGGGGAGCCCAAGTACAGACTCTGAGGTGGAGGGGGTCGTGCAGATACCTTCCATCCGACCCCCACTAGTTGGTTACGAAAACTCCTCTTACCAGATCCCCAGGCCCGCGTGGAGGCCTCCCTTTACCGCATGCTACCGTGTCCCCTCGTGTGCACGGTCGCCCAACTCCGGCTACCTTCAGGGCACTCCACATCCGGTAGATGCAGGCCCCTTACCTTGGTGGTCGCCGGGAGCCAGGCCCTCGTAGATGTCTCTGCACACAGCCAGCAGTAGCGCCACCTTGCGGCGTGGGGCGCAGGCAGCGTGGAGTTGCTCCAGGCGCGCGTGGATGCGGTTCCGCAGGGTGGAGGCGGGGCCCTGCCCTTCAGGCCCCGCCCCCTGAGCACCAGGAGGCCCCGCCCCCGCCCTCAGAGCTATTTGTCGCCTGCGCAGTCGTCGCAGCTCCGGGGCGCGGAATGTGCGGAGTCGCATCCACAGGACAGGCTTTAGAGGTGCCAACACCGCCCGGCACAGGGCCGCCTCCACCGCGGGGCCTGCGGGGGTGAGGTGGGTGAGGGAAGGGCGGCAGGTGGGCCCAGGTGGACCCACGCCCGCCCAGGGCCTTGACAGGTGTGGACATGAGTGCGGCAGGTGTGGACATGCGTGCGCATGCGTGGTGGGGAAGGGGTGCTGTCTGTGGCAAGTGTGAGACGGAGCAGTGGCGAACAGAGTAGTGACTGTATGGAGGGTCTGGAGTCGAGAAGGAAACAGGAGAGGTGGAGAGAAAGAAGCCAGAGGCGGACATAGAGGTAGGGCCAAGAGAAGGCCAGTAGGAATCCCTGGGGGTCCTGGGAGTGACCCTAAATTCCCTCCCAGTCCTCTCATTACCAAAATCCTCATCCTTTTGGGGCACGCCAATCCCCCTGCTCTCGAAGACAGCCCTGGCATCTGGGTCCTTTTCTAAGTGGTCCTGGAGGTCAGTAAGGAGGTGGCGCATATCCTGAAGCAGCTCTGTGGCTGGGTCCCCGGGCCTGTGCGGGCCAGCCTCCGAGGTCAGGCGTGCCCGAAAGCCCCGGAACTGCCTGGCCACGTAGCTGCTCCGTGCCCTGACCAGGGCCCGCACGTGGCGGGTGAGCACGTCCTCGGAGCCTTTCTCTTCATCCTTATAGATGTCAAGCTCCTTCTCCTCCTGCTCTGCCAGGCTGGCCAGAGCTGGCCCAGGAGGGTGTTCTTCCGGGCTGAGAGGGCCTTCCACCCAGGACACCCGGTGAGGGGTGGGGTTCCTGGGGGCTGAATGTGAGGACAGGATGAGGTTCCCCTGATCGGCAGCAGCAGCTCCCTCATCCCTGGGAGCCCAGATGCCTGCCCAGCTGACCTGGACTGGGTTTCTTGGTGGTCTCTGGAGAGGGGGCCTCTGCGGGTATCTGCTGCATTTCCCACTGTCCATGGGTATCCAGGTAGAGCTTGTTCACCATGGACAGCACCCTTCCTGAGCTGCTGGGTCGGTCGCCGTCAGTCTGCAGAGAGTCTGGGGGCCGGTAGAAATGAAATGTCCCTGATTTCCGAGGGGCCGGCCCTGGTTCCTTCAGGGTACCTGGAACCCTCATGACCATGCACTAGCAGAGGAGCTGTGGTTTGGCCCACAGCCCCCATGCTCCCTCAAGCCTAGTAGTCCCGGCCTCCAGATGCCATCCAGGCTGGATTTTGGCTTCTCTCTTCCTGAGAGAAGCAAGCCTCACCTGTGGTTTGGTCTCCAGGCCCTAGACTGGAAGGGGGTAGGAGCAGCGTTCTAGGCAAAATATCCCTGAGGAAAGATAAGGAGTAGTTGAAATGTTGGTGGGTCTTAGGCAGGTTTCCCCTCTTAACCCTTTTGATGTGTGAAAGGTACCTGCTGGCTGATAGGAAGGCCAGGAGATGGGGCAGGTCTGGCATGCAGAGGTTGGAGGATTCCAGAGTCACACCTGGAAAGGGATCAAGAAGGGACAAGGAAGATTTGAGGGGTGGCAACCTCCCCTTCCCTGGGGTTCTCCCAGCTCTCTTTATCTGAGGGTGTTGCACCCTTCGATAGACTTGGGCATAACACCTGATTGATGTTTGAAAATACCACTAGGCTGCTGTGGCAGAATGGATTTCAGGAAAGAGAGGGTGGGAATAGAGACTAGCGAGGTCTGGCCAAGAGATGATGATGTCATAGACGAGGCTGCTGGAGGTGGAGAGGACTGGGGAGATTTGGGAGCTGTTTTAGAAGGTGACCTCTCTTGGTGGTGAATGTACTGCGGACTGGAAACTCAGGAATAGACTCCTCACCTCCGGGAAGCTTCTGGATCTGGTAGGTGTTGATTTTCCTTGGTGAATATCCTGTTTTCAATACCAGAACTTGGTTGGGGTTGTGTCCTATGACCAGGAAACTCTGGGGGTAGAGAGGGGGATTGGAGACAAAGGTCAGCTTGAAGAGGATGTGTGGACCTCTCTGTGACTCTGAATTGCCTAACATCCATGTCCCTAATGTTTGGTTCCACACCCCAGATTTCCTCTTTTTTTTTTATACTTTATGCCTTCTTTTTTTTTTTTAAGATTTATTTATTTATACAAGCGCTGGGGTACAGGCCAGTGGCGTGGGAGGGTGAGAGAATTCACCAGAGACAGAGCAGAGAGCAGAAAAGGCAGTAGGACCTGATGAGGGGAGCAGCGGGCAAGACAGGAGAGATCTGCTGCGCCATGTGGGTATCTCCCTGGCCGGCCAGGTGTCGAACCCACGCTGCAGAGGCTGCGGACAGCTTCACAGAGCTGCACTCAACCTGCTGCACCACCGGGGAGGCCCACCTTTTTTTTTTTTTTTTTTTAAAGATTTATTTATTCATGCATACAAGAACCAGGGTACAGGCCAGAAATGCTGGGGGTGAGAGGATGCACCAGAGACAGAGTGGGGAACAGAATTGGCAGACTGACTGAAATACACTGCTGAGGGGACCAGCGGGTGAGACAGGAGAGGTCTGCTGCGCCATGTGGGTATCTCGCTGATTGTCCAGGATGGAACTCATGCTGCAGAGGCTGCCGACAGCTTCACAGCGCTGCGCTCAACTGCCTGCGCCACCAGGGGAGACCCCCAAATTTCCTTTTGAGAAACCCACTCCCTATTTCCAGTCCCTGCCAATGGGACTACCACCTGTAAGCCCCAGCCAGGGGTGGGTGCAAGACCCAGCCTAGCCAATGGGATGACAATACTCCCTGACCACTGTGATTGGCTGAGAGATGGGCATGCAGACCAAGCTCAGCCAATGAAAATCTTCCATAAGATTTTCGCTGGAGCTCTTTGGAAAGAGGTCTCTTTTTACAACAGGGTTGCTAACCTGGTAAACGTGGTGCTGCAGGACAGCCATCTCTGCCATCACACGGAGAAATCCCCCCGCCCCGCCAGGAGGCAGCTGTTACCGTATCCAAATCTAGCCTTTATTTCTTTTTTTTTTTTTTAAAGATTTATTTATTTATTTATACTAGCACTGGGTACAGTCAGAAGTACGGGAGGGTGAGAGGATTCACCAGAGCCAGAGCGGGGAGCAGAGCAGGCAGAAGGACCGAAGTACACTGCTGAGGGGAGCAGCGGGCGGCAGGAGAGGTCTGCGCGCCATGTGGGACCCTCCTCCGGTGGCCGGGGATTGAACCGGCGCTGCAGAGGCTGCGGGCAGCTTCGCAACCCAGCGCTCAACCGCTGCGCCACAGGGGAGGCCCTAGCTTTTATTTCTTTCAGACCCCAGCCGGACAGTGGGTACTGCTTGACACAGGGATGAGTTCTTGCCTGTGGCTGTATAGCTCCCAGGTGAGCTTTAAAAAAATATTGCTACCCCATCTTATATTTTGAATCAAATGTGAAGGCTTTTGCTTTTCCTGGTGAAAGAAACAGATGTAGCTGGTGCTGCCTTTCTTCTTCTTCCTCCCCTCTGTGCTGGCTCAGGGGCAGCCAGGAGCACGGCGAGGCAAGCCTCGGTGCATTGCACTTGCTGAACCACAGCCGCAGCCTTTCTGGCTGTGAGAGTGACCGCGCCTGTGTGCCTGAGTGGCTGTAGAACAGGAGCATGTTCCTTGCAGCCCCAAGCATTCAGAAGCCCCCCACGAGAAGTGTGGGGACCGAAAGCCAAGAAATGAATGAAGAGGAATGTCTCAGTGGCCTGATGCTCAGGAACTAACATTCCTGAAACTGCTTTTTCTTTGGGGGATTCAGTCCCTGGAATTAATAAGCAGCCTTTTGGCTTGGGCTGCCTTGGGTCGCATTCGTCACTAGCAGCCAGCAGGGTCTTGACCCATCCATGGTGTCATGGGGGGGAGTCAGAGAGGGTCCCGCACTGTGAGTACTTACCCCCGGGGGCCACAGCTCCAGAACGGCTTCTGCATTCGAGGCATCAAACTCAGGGATCTGCCACACCCCTTGTGTCCTCTGCAGGCGAAGGACTGGCTCTGGGGTCCCCAGGATCCCTAAGGTGGTCTCGGCTGCTCCATTCATCTGTGATGGGACAAGCCTGGGCCGTGCAGAGGCCGGGAGACGAGGGGTCAGAGCTGGGCAGTTGGGCACTGAGGTGGGGTCAAAGATGTAGGAAGGAACAGTCCAGGGGCAAAGGGTCAGAGATGGGGTTCTGAGTCCGGTTAGGGGTGGGCATTGATGGAAAGAGTTTCTCGATCCCGGGGCAAGAGATGAGAATGACCCAGACCCAGCGGCCCTCACCTTTCCCCGTTGCTGGGACCTGCAGAAACCTTGTCATCTGGCTTGGCCATGCTCAGGATGTGGGAGGCCAGTGAGTCATGGTCTGAACACTGGTGGGGAGGAAGATAAGGTGCAAGGCTGTTCCAACGCAGGGGTAATATCAAAAATATTTACAACCCTGAGCCTCCCTGGTGGTGCAAGGGGTTAAGTCTCAGTACTATGCAGCTATCAGCAGCCACTGTGGCCTGAGTTCCATCCCTGGCCGGGGAGCTGACCCACATGGCGCAGCAGACCTCTCCTGTCTCGCCTGCTGCTCCCCTCAGCAGTGTGTTTCAGTAGATCTGCCTGTTCTGCTCCCCACTCTGTCTCTGGTGAATCCTCTCACCCATTTCCCCCCCCCCACCTCTGGCCCAGCTGTTGTATGCATAAACAAATAGATCTTTTTTTTTTAAAGATTTATTTATTTATACAAGCCTGGGGTACAGGCCAGAGGTGCGGGAGGGTGAGTGAATTCACCAGAGACAGAGTGGGGAGCAGAACAGGCAGAAGGACCGAAATACACAGCTGAGGGGAGCAGCAGACGAGACAGGAGAGGTCTGCCTTACCATGTGGGGATCTCGCTGGCCGGCCGGGAATTGAACCCATGCTGCAGAGGCTGCAGACAGCTTCACATCGCTGGGCTCAACCCACTGCGCCACTGGAGAGGTCCAAATAAATAAATCTTAAACAAATACATTTACAACCCTATGGCAAAGCATCTGACAAATCAAAATGGACCCAAGCCTCTTTGTGGGACCAACTGTAAATTCTTTACTCGCTGGATGGTGGGAAGCTCTGGGGACCCCAGAAGGGAGACTGGTGTGTCTTGGGGTGGGGGGAGATGGAAAGGATTCAAAATGACAGCTACTTAGCAAGTGGGAGAGAAATAGCATTTCTGATTTTAACAACTGGTGCCATTGTGCCAACGTGGACCAGCTGAGTAACAGCCCAAAGCCAAACCCAGTGCCAGGAATGGTGCTCGGCCATTCAGCATAGGCACTTGAACTTGACAGATGCTTTTTCTTCCTTTCCCAGACTATGAAGTTACTCTCAAATATTTCCCCCCAATATTTTCTTTTTTTTTAAATGTTTATTTATGCATATAAGAACTGGGGTGCAGGCCAGAGATGTGGGGAGGGGGCAGTGAGAGGACTCACCAGAGACAGAGCAGGGACCAGAACAGCCGAATCTACTGAAATACACTGCTGAGGGGAGCAGCAGGCGAGACAGGAGAGGTCTGCTGTGCCGTGTGGGTAGCTCCCTGGCTGTGGATAGCTTCATAGTGCTGTGTCTTAACCCCTTGTGCCACCAGGGAGGTCCCCCCACCAATATTTTCTAATGAAACTTTTCTGGCATTCAGAAAACTGAAAAAAGTTTCCAGGCCACATCCATGTGATCCCCCCACCCACCTGCCACCGCCCAGCTTCTGCCATTGACATCTCACACCCTTTACTTCCTCACGCATCTGTCCCTTTGTCCATATCTCCATGCTTTGGACCCCAACTGTTGGGGCGAGTCCCACAGGGGTTATCATTGAAGGTGGCTTCTCTGATTATTTGTACTGGCCTCAGGAGTAGGCAGCCTGGGTCTGGGGAGGGTCCATGCACACACGTACCCAACAAATATTTATCAAGAGCAGGCCTAGAAGTCAGTGCCAGTGGCCTGGGGGAAGGGTGACAGGCCAGGCCAGACCCCTGCCTCAGAGCAGGACCTAGGGTGGGCACAGGACAACAAGCACAGGTAATAAACAGCTAAATAAAACAGTCAGCCTGCTGCCCAAAGTCAGGGGTTTTAGGAAGGGAGGGGTGGGGGCCGGAGAGCAGGTGCCCTGCGCAGGGGTGAGGCATGGAGGGAGGAGGCAGGTGCTTGCCTGGGTCCCTGGGAGGGGAGAAGGGAAGAGGTGCAGGGTAGGGGGAGAGGCGACAGCTGCTGGGGACCCAAGGGAGGCAGCGGGGAGAGGAGTAAAGATGCCAGCTGTTGGGTCCCTGGGGGCCCCTACCTGTTCCGAGGGGAGGCCCGGAGTATCAGGAAGTGAAAGTGTACCTCGTCGCAGTGAGAGAGGAAGCTGTGTTGGCAGGGGGAAGAGGCGGGGCTGGGGTATCTACCTTCCTCTCGTTTTCCGGGGGCTTAGGGCTTAGGTGACTGGGCTTTCGAGGAAGGGACCCTGGCAGACTGGGGCTGCAGAGTTAAGAGTCCTGAGGCTCCCCAGCCCCAGGGGTCCCCTCCCAGAACCCATCATTCTGCCTCTCACAAGCCTGCAAAGGTTCTGGTTTCTTTAGTGGCTCGAGACTAACCCCCTCCTCCAGCTGCTTCCCTGTGCACCCAGAAAGGAACAGAGGCCAGGCAGCTGATTGTTAGTTGTTGTTTGTTTTTATTCATTTCCAATAAGCAACATCATCTGCCCAACCCTGCTGGGAAGTGGGTCCCCAGTTGAAGGGGCCCAGCACCCGCACAGGGAATTGCAGGCAGAGACTTGGGAGGCCTTCAGGTTCAGCACCCCCCACTGAGTGTGAGCTATGTTGCAGGGCCCTGGCCCCACCCAGGGTGGGTTAGATTTCATCCACTTGGCCTCAAGCCCTTAGGTGCAGTAGAGAGTGTGGGGGCCTGCGCCCCTGTCTTGGGACAGTTGTGAGTCTGGAGGCCCCTCTGGCCTCTGGGGGCAGTTAGAAGTTAGGGGAGCTGGATCCTTGTCCAAGGGAGTGGTGAGAGGCTGCAGCTGTTAGAGGTGAGCTGCCCAAGTCAGCCCCAGAGATGTGAGGGATTCGCTGGGGCCAGGGGGCTGGCACCCCAGTTTGGGGAGGGAGTTGTTAAGAGGTTGGGGAAACGTTCTGAGTAGCAAGTTAGAGGGGCCGGGGCTGGCGGGCGATGTCCCAGGGGAGCAGGGTGTCTGCCTGGGCGACGCAGCTGTCACTGGGGCTTCTCCCCCTCCGGGGTCCTGGTCTCATCCTTGGCCGGAGGTGGAGACTTCCTGGGGGAAGCTGAAGAGGTGGGGTTGGAGCTCGCCGACCCTGACTGGGCATCTATGCTGGCATGTTCCTTCCGGACAAGGTCCTCCAGCTCCTTCTGCGGGGGGCAAAGTTCACAGAGGTCACCGTGGGGCATAATAGAGTCCAGGGCCCGGGCTCAGGGTGGGCTGGGTGGCCCGGGCTTCTCACCTTCCATCCGAGGAGTTCAGCAAAGGCCAGGCAGCCCTGGTCGCAGTCCCCCAGCCAGGCCACGTCCCTGCGGGCAGGTGGGAGAGTCAGAGGCCCCCACGGCTTGTTCCCGGCCCCCACCAGCTCTTCCTTGTCCAGTACCCTTCCCCCACCCCTCCCCTGCAGCTGTCCCCTGCAGGCGCCACCCCCACCGCAGGCCCAGACCCCACCTGTAGGCCTTCTTGGAGTCGAAGTCCATGCCTCCTCCCATGCCCATCATCATTCCCAGGAAGGGGTCAGTCTGCAGGGGAGGGAGGAGTGGGGGGTTGACCTTAGGGCGCAGATCCTAGAGTCAGTGGCCTGGGTTTGCACCCCAGTTTGTGACTTTGCTCAAGTGACCCCGCCTCTCTGAACGCAGCTTCCTTAGCTGTAGAGTGGGGGTGAGCATGGCACCCCTCCTAGGGTTATGTTGGCAGTGGGCTCATGCATGGGGAGCACGCAGAACAGTGTCTGACATGTATGTTTTGCCTGCTGAGGTGACCTCCTTCCCGGGAGGGGCAGGTCCTGCTTGGGGTGGGGCCCTGCTGGGACCCAGGCCGCTGCGCCCCCTACTTTCCAGCCCCGGGAATCACCACCCTCCTGTCTGGTGTAAGCCGCTTCGAGGCAGGCCTCTGTTGCTTACTCCAAAGGGTGAGGGAACCTGGGTCTGCCTGGAACCTGCCTCTCCAGATTCCAGAATCCCTGGATCTGAGATGAGGGGTCTAAAGAATTGGGATTCCCTAGAGATTGGTCCTCAGGTTCCCCAGGAAGCTAGTGGGACATGGGGCGTGTGAGGGGGAGGTTATGAGCGGAGCCCACACACCTGGCCAGTCTTCTCCTTGTTGATGAGCAGGCGCGGGGTCGACAGGCGGGCCCTGGGGGAAGGCAGCTTTGGTGAGGACCTGTCCTGGCTTCCCAGTCCCCAGCCTCCCAGCCCCGACCCCAACCTACTTGCTGATGAGGGATGCAAAGGGCTGCACCTGCAGGGAGGTGCCCATGATGATGAGGAGGTCCGCTTTCTGGAAGTCCTGTGACAGGGAGCGCCAGTGAGGGCCACCCCGGCCCCACCACCAGCCTTCCCCCTGCCCCCCTCCAGTTAGTGGGGATGGGGCTGCCCACAGGGGCCCAGCGGGGTGTGGCAGGGGCACTTACTGACTGCATGCAGGAGAAGAAACGCGCTGGGAGGTTCTCGCCGAAGAACACGATGTCTGAGGTGGAGACGGACAGACGCCAAGACAGAGGAGACAGTGAGGCGGGGGTGTGGGGTGTGGGGGGTAGACAGGGAGCAGGCAGCAGCGGAAGGCAGACCTGTGAGGGGGGCGGGAGCTGCCAAGGGGACAGGCAGGGCTACAGAACCCACTGTCCCCTAGGACGGGTCCGGGTGCTGCTCAGGGACGGGGTGGCCGAGGTGGGTGGCTGGGGAGCGTGTTCTCTTTGGGAGGGGGTGAGAAAGGGGTCCCTGGGCCCAGGCTCACCTGGCTTCACCACGCTCTGACATTTCTCACACTTGGGAGTCACCTCGGAGAAGATCTTCTCTGGGCGGGGGAAGAAGGACAGTGAGAGGCTGCCCGGGCCTTTGTCCTGCTCCTCCGAGAAGTGCCCCACCTCCCTCCACCCCCTAGGATCTGGGGAGGGGGGTGGCTCCCAGCACTGAGCTTGTAGCTACTGAACTAGAGAGTAAACCAACAAAGGAACAAACAAACGAGCAGATACTGGTCCCCCAACGCCCCCCGGGGGGATCTGGACTCAGGAAAGAGGCTCACCTAGTGGGTTTCAGAGAGCAGCCCTGTGTCACCCCAGGTCAGAGAGGCCTGGTGGGTCCCAGGCCTGGGGGGAGGAATATGCAGCTGATCCTGGGGTGGAGAGCCACAGCTTTCCACTCTTGGCTCCTCTGAGACAGCCCCCGGCCCCAACCACCCTCAGGGCAACCCCGCTCCTTACTGCCTATTGATTAGGGAAGCTTGAAAGCATCTCTGTCACTTGCAGCCCACAGAATCCCAGCTTGTTCATTCCACCATGCATTCATGCCCTCCACAGATATTTACAGAGCACTGTTCTGGAGTCTGTGGCTTACAACGTCTGTGCTGGCCGCAGGCTATTGTGTGGGTGCGTGTGGTGCTACGGGGGGTGAGACACAGGGGTGATGTTCATTGTGCGGTCCCCCCAGCTGCGGGCAGTCGGGCTATTCAGGAACCTTCGGTCCGGGGGCCCGGCCACCGTGCCACAGCTGTCCTCGTCTCCCACGGACACCAGGGCCTTTGTGAAATGGTTTCCACGGCAGAAATAAGTGGCTTCTTACTTAGCACAAAGGGTGTCAGAAATAGGCTCCACCGGCTTTTCAGAAATGTGCATTGTCTGGATTGTCTTCTTTCTCGGGACCGCTGCCCTTACATGAGCAGGGAGTGTGGCTTGTACTCTGTACCCCTAGGGGAAGCCCCCAGCCATCGCCCCTGACCCGGCTTGGGCTGGCTTCACGCTCCAAGGACTGTGCGGTGTGGTTCTCCCTGCTGGGCACGCAGGGGCCTGGGCTCCAGACAATGCTGTCCAGTATGGCAGGTGGAGCCGCCATGGCTTTTTAAGATTTATTTATTTATTTATACAAGAACCAGGGTACAGGCCAGATGTGCGGGAGGGTGAGAGGATTCACCAGAGACAGAGCGGGGAACAGAACAGGCAGACTGATGAAATACACTGCTGAGGGGAGCAGCGGGCAAGGCAGAGAGGTCTGCCGCGCCATGTGGGACCCTCGCCGGTCAGCCAGGATTGAACCGGTGCTGCAGAGGCTGCGGACAGCTTCACAGCGCAGCGCTCAACCACCTGCGCCACCAGGGGAGGCCCCACCGTGGTGGCTTTTTAAATGAATAGAAATGAAAGAAAGCTGGTGCTTGGGTTCCCCGGCCCTGCCAGCCACATCGTAGGTGCTCATGCCCACCCACAGCCGGCGGCGGCCATATCGGACAGTGCAGATATGGAAGGATCCCTGCATCTCAGAAAGAGCTGTGGGAAAGGCTCTTCTTGGGGTGCGGTTGCATGTGGTTTGATGAGCCCCTGGCGTAACATGGGTCAGAGCAGTAGGACAACGAGCAAGGGCCTTGTGATCTTTACAGAGCAGACTGACACCTGTCAGTGAATGCCTGGCCGAGTGTGACCGCCTGAACCGAGTCTGGAGTCGGCCTCCACGATCACCTGGCTGAGGTGGTGCTGGGAGCCACGCACTCCCACTGCTACCTCAAGTCTTCGTGGGCTGCCATTTTCTACTACACAGAACCACAGAACCGAGTGGTCAGACCCTGCCCTCAGGCCACTCACCTTTCATCCAGCTGAGCGGGTACTCCCGCCTGCAGAGGGGGCTGACGCAGTGCGACGTGTGGAAGGTGCCGTGGGCTTCTACCAGGTCCTCGGGCTCCAGCCCTGCCACTCGCTCCAGGGTGTCTATGTTCTGCAGGGAAGGATGGAAGGAGCGGGTCAGGGCTGGACTGCACCCCTCAGGGGGCAGGAAGCAGCTCAGTGAGAAGCAAGTAGGACAGTGAGGGGAGGGAGGGCGGAAGCAGCCCTGGGAGGGTGGGTCTGCAAAACTCTGTGCGTTCCCACGGTGTCACTGAGGGGGTCAAAGCTACCGACACTGAAAGGCAGGGCTGAACTCCTGTCATAGGGGCCGGCCCTGAGCTGCTGCCAGACCAAGTGGCATTTGTCTGCACACCAGGATGCTTTGCTTCCATTTTTTGGAGCATTCATTTTGTGAGAACGAGATACTCCAGTGCCACTCGCCAGGGTCTCCCCTGGAAATGGGCCCCCCTCAGGTGTGGCCTTCTGCTACAGTGCCCGACCCGCACACCCACATCTGGCAGCCCTGGCCACGCTTGAGCAGACATGAATGCGCCAGAGGATGCCCTAGGCTGCAACGCGCCATTTTCCTGTTGGCCGGTCAGGTGTCTCCCTACGGCCCCTCTCACGGTGATGACACGCTGACTTGTGTTCTGTTAAGACACAGACACTTTCCTTATTCATCAGGCCAGAACACTTCCCTCCCACAGGGACGCAATGGCCTCTCACTTTCTTAAAGCACACAGCCCCCTCTGGACAGCCTTTGTCTGCCCAAGAGGAGGGCTGGGGGCGGGGGGGGGGCAGGGGCTGACGGGGGCCTGGCAGCTGTCACACAGAGACGGCTGTAGTCTGTAGCGTGCGGCCCACAGCTGAACCAACAAAGCTTCCCAGAGGCCCCACGAACAACAGAAAGGGTTTCCTTTCCAGGGCAGATGGCTCCGAGGCCTCGCTGCCCCCCCCCCCCCCAGCCATCAGCTGGTCGCCTCAGCTTGCAAAGAGTCGCTGTTCGCACTCTCAGCAGCTTGCCCCCTGGCACCCCTACCCTGTGCCCCTTTCGTCTTGTCTTTGTTATTCCATTCAGTCGACTAACTGACTTCCCCGGCATTTGTGAAAGCACAGTTCCTACAGATCACTGCAGGGCACATAAGAGGGGCGCCTGGGCCTCTGTGCAAACCACAAACACACACAAAAGAATGAGGCCAGGGCCTCCCCAGTGGCGCAGCAGTTGAGCGCTGGGTTGCGTAGCTGCCAACAGCCTCTGCAGCGCGGGTTCGAGGCTGCCGGGCGAGGGTCCCACATGGCGCGCAGACCTTTCCTGCCGCGTCTGCTGCTCCCCTCAGCAGTGTACTTCGTCATTCTGCCTGTTCTGTTCCCCGCTCTGGCTCTGGTGAATCCTCTCACCCTCCTGCACTTCTGACTATACCCAGTGCTTGTATAAATAAATAAATCTTAAAAAAAAAAATAAGAATGAGGCTCAACCTATATGGACTGATGGGAGACGATCTCTCCGAGACGGACGTGCAAAGCAGCGTGCATGGAGGTGGGGAGAGTGTTTGTGAGCGTGTGCATTCGCTCGCCTAAGCCCAGAAGACCTTTGAGGGAGACGCAGTGGCCTCCAGGGAGGGGAGCTGGGGGGCGGGGGGTGGGAACACACCAGCCAAGGAAGTCGTCTGCCGAGGTACAAGGAGCAGGATGAGACACAGCCACTAACATCCGGCCAGGGAGTCCCGCAGGAAAGGGCCTGGGCAGAGGTGGACACAGGGCAGAGGTGGGCAGTGGCCACCCCGCTCAGCCAAGCACCCAGTCAAGCCAGCTGGGGTGCCTCCGGCTCACCCCACTTTCCAGCAGGAGCCTGAACTCGGGATTTTCATCTGAAATCTTTTGATTCATTTTTTTATTCCCCCAGCTCATGTCGCCGGGTGACTGATTGTCATGGACGGCAGCTTTTACGAAGCCACAAGCTGCCGTGTGGGTGTGGAAGGTGCCTGCAGCTCGGGGGCTAAGGGAGACAAAGGCAGGAACAGAGCCTTGGTACGGTGGCAAGAGCACGCGCGCACCAGAGACCGGGCCTTGCGCTGTGGCGGCCACAGCGACTGCGGTGAGCAGGAGGGCTGTTGGCCTGTCTGCATGGATACTTGTGTCTTCAGATAAAAATAGCTTCTAGGGCCACAGGGTCACCCTTCAGAACCAAACGGGGACAATGTGTTCCAGAAAACTGGGTCAGTGACTCAAAACGTGACTGAGAAGGGTGACAAGTTTGGAAAAAAAAAAATGGTTTCGTGAAATATGAGTGGAAAACTGTTTTCTGTCTTGTTCTGTTCTGTGCACTGTGCCATCCTGACGACGCACGAGCAGGTCAGTGCTCTCAGAAAGTATCTCAGGGAGGAGCGACGCCTGCCCGTTCCACGCTGACCCCAGCAAGCATTCCTGCCGGTTTGCAGGAGGAGCACAGGGTGAGCTGTCTCTGTGGTTGGGCAGAGCCGGCAGGGAGCACGCAGCGCCTTGAGCCCCCCGGGGTTGGCTTCTCCCTCAGGGACCCCCGGGATCTCCTCCTGTCTGGGGAGTCTAGACTGTGTCCAAAGCTGCTTCTCTAGCTCAAGTCCAGACCCCTGCCTCCACTGCGCGCCTGCACCTCCATGGGGGTGTCTGAGGGCAGCTTGGCCTTGGCAGGCCTCTGCCTACCACCCCCCATTGCACATCCTGCCAGCTGAGGAAAACCACCCGCTTCAGGCTGAGACCTGCCCTCGTCCCGCCTCCTCGCTCTCGCCCCAGTCATCTCTCATCCGTCCTTCCTTCGTCCTTCCTTCGGCAGCCCTGTTGGCTCACCTTCAAACCAGTTTCCAAACCTGCTTGCTTTGCCGCCTCCAGGGCCCAGCCTCCCTCCTCTCTGGCTTGGGCCATCACCGCGGCCTCCTCCCTGCTCTCTGTTCCCTCCTCCCTCCCCCTCCACAGCCTGACCCCAGACGGACCCTGGGGACACCTAGGTCAGGTCGTATCCCTGCCCTGCTTAGGGCTGTCCTGGGGCTTTGTTTCACAGGAGCTAAACCCTCCCTCTGGCCCCCAACACCCCGTATGATCCAACCCGGCACCTCTCTCACCTCTCCTCCATCCTCCCCAACTGCAGTCCTCCTGACTCACTCAGATCCAGCTTCTAGGGGGTGTTGAACATGCCAGTCAGGCTCAGCCCAGGACCTTTGCCCTGGCTGTTCCCTTGGCCTGAAATGCACTCTCAGAGGGTGCCATGGCTCTCTCCTCTCATCCTAAGTCCTTGTTTAATTGTCCCCTTCTCTGTGTGGGTCCCCCCTCCACCCTCCCCCCAACAGATCTCTCTCTAGTGCGTGTGCTCTTGCCTGTCACACACACACACACACACACACACACACACACATGTACACACGCACACAATGCTTCCCTTTCGGCTCCACCATGCTCCCTGGCTTCTCACCATCTGCTACTTAGCCTTCTTGTCCATTGTCTCTCTCTCCCCCCATCAGGGGACCAACTCCAGGAGGGGGCAGGGGTGTTTGCCAGCGCTGCGTTGGCACTAGGTTAATGCTGTGACAGAAGCTGACAGACAGGGACGCCAGCAGGGCCATGGCGAGGGTTTTATGACTTCGGGTGCAGAAAGCACTTGGCTTCAGGTGAACTACTTGATTCACGCCTGAGCCATGTCCCATGAATAAAACTGACTCTCTGGGAAGAATGGAAAGGTTCATCCTAAGCTGGGGCTACCTCTGGCTGGGGGGGCGGGGAACGTACCCTCCTCCAGCCCTGCGAGCAGTCCCAGGCCTGAACACCTGCCCCCGCAGAGAAACCTGGGTCTAAAAAGGACTGCCTCCGCCCCCTAGTGGCAGCTCCTGAGGCTGCAGGCTTCAAACAGGCAGGTGCAGGAGGAGCAGAACAGGGTTGCATTCCTGTTCTCTTTTATAATCCCGGGCTCTGGGGTGTGATTTGCAGCATGAATGATATTGCCGCTATAGCACATCGTGTAATTTCAAAATGCTGTCAAAGGTAGATGAGGGTGGAGGGAATGGGGCCTGGGGGATGGCATAAAGTCTCAATTATGCAAGATGAAGACCCGGCACACCTAATTGTGCTTTTAGTTAACAACACCGTATTGTGCGCTTAACCATCCCTTCATGGGCTTAAAATTTGGCTTGTATCAAAATTAAATTAAATTTAAAAAATAAATAAAACAAAGGTAGAGGCACAAACATTCTTACTGCTGGGGACATGAGACCCCACAAATCTGCCTACTCATCCAGAAGCTGACAGCATTAGCCCCCTCATCCAAGCACCCCAGGGCGAGGCCCTTGGCTAAGTGCCTGACACTGTGAGCCACGGCCCGCAGCACACACAAGATGTCTCTGCAAGCTAAAGATGCCCCTCCCTCCCGCCCTAGCACCAGTTAGGAAACTGTCTCATAGGTGGATTTTGTTAGATGGAGTCACCTTGATGTCACTCGCTGGAGAGCTTAACAAATATTAAATCTAGGGTGCAAATGGCGTCCCCCAGTACACAGGTGAGTGGTGCTCACTGTCCCCTCACCACAGACCTGAGAGGGTGAAGGGGAAACTGAGGCAGGGAGGGGGGAAGTGGCTCGCTGCAGGTCACGTGACAAAGAAGGAATTGTCTAAGCTCGAGGGGCGCAGCTCTGTCTCTCCTTGAGGTGCCAGGGCACTTGTCCCCTCTCCCCAGGGTCGCCACCACTTACCTGCGTGTAGCAGCGCAGGAGCAGCCCCTTCTCCTTCAGCAGGCGGATGAAGTAGTGGCAGACGGTCGGCTGGAGGGGAGCGAGCGCAGGGCCGTGGGAACAGAGGACAGTTAGGGCCGCAGCTATGTGCTGCCCCGGCCTGTCTGCCTCGGGGCCCGCCACCAGGGTGGGACCAACCTAGCCTCTCTTGCAGCAAGGATCCGAGGCCCAGGGAGGTTGACTATCTTGTAAATCCCATTGCTGGTAAGTTGCAGAGGTGGGGTTCACACAAAAGCTCCAGAGTCTGGGTTCTTACAAGTATTACTAACTCACTCAAGCCCCGCAGCAACCATTGTCCTGTTCTATCCCCGGCTTCACGTGCAGCTGGAAACGTAGGTCCAAGGGCACAAGAGGGTGGGTGAGGGGCGCAGGGACTGGGCCCAGGCTGAGTGCAGAGCCCGTGAACTTGAAGCCCAGGCGGGGCCTCCCGCACCTCCCCATGCTTTCGCGCACAACAGAAAAAAGGCTCACCTTGAACTGTCCAGGATAGAGCTCCTTGGCAAGGGCGAAGAAGGGTTCTGGATGTTTCTGAGGGAGAAAAAGGCAAGCGCAGGTGGGCACCAGATGCTGCGGTAAGCTGAGAGCGGCAGCCAGGTGACCCCAGTCCCTCCCCACTCCCCAAAGGCGGTCCTGCCTGGCCATACCTTGAAGTAGCCAATCTCAAAGATGGCCTCCGGGTAGGGAAGATGGTATTTCTCCAGGTTGGCATAGAGGCCCGTGGATGGGGAGCGGAAGTCAGGGATGCCCGCGGCTGGGGGAGGGTGAGTAGGAGGCCTAGATCAGGGGCCACAGCCATCCTCCCAGGCGAGGGCCCGCATGGCCCCTCCTGGGACCTGGAAGTGGCTCCCCAAGTTGAGGGCTGGCAGCTGGGGCAGGGTGGGGGGCCGCACTTACATGTGGAGATTCCAGCTCCCACCAAACAGATGACCCTGCGACCTGGAGGAGAGGAGTTTGTGGGTCACGTGACACGGTTTGCTCGCCCTCTATGCTAACACCCGCCAAGGCCCCGAGGCATTCAGGCAAGGCCCTGGGGCAGGATGCCTGACGGGAGGAGAATGGTGCTAACCTGCCTATTTCACAGATGAGGAAACTGAGGTTCAGACTGGGAGGGGCCACACAGTTGAGGGGTGCAAGAGCCAGCACACAGGGACACAGCATGGACTGTTTGAAATGGCACCAACTTAGCTCTGAGTAAAGGCCACTTGGAGAGAGGTTTCTCTCCTAACTAGATTTAGACAAAAATGCATGAGATTTTAGTGAGAAGGCTGGTGGGGGGGGGCGCGGTGGGGACTCCCCTGGAAGAGCTGCAGGGTATTTCAACAACCTCTCGCAGCGCCTCATCTTTGGGAAGCCGTCTCGGTGCGCCTCTGTTCTGGCACCACACGCATTCCTGCCTCGTGTTTCTTCGCACCACGATCATGGACACATCAGCCCCCAGAAGTCTGGGGGTAATTTTCAGGTAAAGACCCCAAATTTGCCCCTCTCAGCCCACACTCAACGAACAATCCTGACTCTCCTGCTCGCCAGCTGTGGGGTCTTAGTTGAGATCAAACCCCCATCCCCGGGCTTCAGCTGCCTGAGCTGTGAAGTGGGTCTCACTAGGGCAGCGGCCTGGCAGGGCTGTTGGGGAATAAATGAATTCCCCAAAGCATCGATCGGCACCCTGCATGGAACAACCACCATCCATCGCTGTTCTTCTTTGCACCCAAACTTCTTGGGACCCCTGATTGATTAATTAATAACACTTTATTCCTCCATGGTTACAGCTTCCATAAAATAGGATGGCAGAAAACAAACATGTATTTAAAAAAGGGGGAAAAAAGAAGATGGGAAGATGTAGTTGGGGTCTAATCATTCCCCAAGACCCTGGGCCCTGCAGAAACAGCAGTAGTTTCCTCAGCTGCTGGCGGGCGGTCCTGCTCCCAGGGGGCCCTGGCACCTGCCTGTCAGTTGATGGACACGCACAAGTGGAGGCCCTGGGAACCCGTGTCTCTGGGTGTCCTTTCCAAGGGTGAATGAAGGCCAAGGCCTGTCCTCGGCTTCATCTGGGCGATGCCTCCCTCCCGACCAAGCCTGACCAGGCCCAGTGGGGGCTTTGCGGGAGGGGCCTGTGCTCAGGATACAGGGGGTCTGGGTGGAGTGGTGACTGCCTCTCACCGGCTGTCACTACCTCTCTGAGCCTCAGTTTCCTCCCCTGTCCAGATTATTCCTGTAATGATCTCCCAGGTATAGTGGGGAGATCACAGGAGAAATCACCTGTAAAGTGTCTAGTTCAGTGCCTGGTAGACAATCAAGCTGGATTAATTGTTATTCTTTATTATTACCCCTCAGAGGCACAAATCCCACCCCCAGGGGCAGGAGGACAGAAAGAACTGACTTTGCAGCCACCGCCTGAGTTAACTGCAGGGATAAAGATGGCTGCAGACAGCGGCTGGCCTGCCCGGGAGAGGCGGGGCTCAGGGCGGGGGGCCTGGCTGCCCCAGGAGGGAGACGGCAGCAGCTGGAGTCAGGGAAACTGGAGAAGTGATCTTCAACAAAAGACTGCTCAGGACCCTCAAAGGGCCGATTGTTCTAGGCGAAGACTGCCGCGGGCCTGCTTTCTCAGACACGGTGACCTCAGCTCGCAGCAAGAAGTATTAATTACACAGTCACCCAGCCAAGAGGTGCCGTCTGTGGGCACCTGAAACAAGCCGCCTGCCATCACAGTCGCAGGGAACACCTAATAGCTCTTGCTCTGTGCCGGGCCCTGTTCCAGGCACTTACCTCTGTATGGAATTATTTAACCCCTAACAGCCCTGGGTGGGGGTCACGAACATTATCACCGGCACCCTATCAAACAGGCCTGGGCATCAGAGCAGCCTTGAGTCCCTGGAGATGCGACCCAGGCCTGGCCAGAGGCGCGGTGATGGGCCGACTGGTGACCGGACCTGGGCCGACTGGCGCCACCTCTGCTCTTTGCTTGGACAAACACCTGGAGCTTGGGAGGAATATGCTCTCTCCAGTCAGACCTGCTAGGCTGGCGGGACTCGCATGTGGAGCCGCCAGGAGCCGCCGCCTCTGCCCGGACACCGAAGAGCAGCAGCAGAAAGGGTTAGGGCGGCGACAGCAGCGTGGGCGGCCTGCGTCAGCCTCGCTTAGCTCTGGATTTTAGCTGCGGGGTCAACACGCCCCGCTGTGAGTGTGCACGTGCGGCCCGGCGGGGCAGGGACTTACAGCGCTCGCTCTGCATGTAGCGGGTCACCCCTTCCAGGGTGAGCTCGTCCAGCAGCTGCTCCTTCTGGGTGCCCAGACCCAGCGTCTGGGAGAAGAAATTCCGCAGGAAGTCCACTGGCCATGGAGAGGAGAGACAGCGCCGGTGGGTGTTCAGCTGGGGTGCACAGATGCCCGGAGGACCCCTCTTCAGCCCGGGGATCTCCTACCTCCCACACTACAGGCTCCATGCCTGGCCAGCCAGGGGCCTCCAGGAGCTGGCATGGAACCCCTGTTACACGCGTTAAGTGTCACCCTTTGGAGGTGAAGGGTGTCCCCTAGACCCCCTGAATTAGCAGCTCCCCCGCCCATGAACATGCTCAGGGGAATATACTCACTCTCTGCTTCTCCGCCAGTAGCTCCTTCCTCAGTGTCGGAATCTGAGTCCTGGAAGGGGCGGGGTGGGGTGACCAGGCCCAAGTGGGGTTAGTGGGGGAGGTGGGGGTGCCACTGGTTTGGGGAAAGGCCCTGGTTGGGGGGTGGGCCTGAGGCTATGAGGGGCGGTGGAGGGACAGCACGGGGGTGGTGTGTGGGCTCTGGGGCAGGCGGCCTGCATGGAAACCCAGCCCCGCTCTCCTCAGGTGCACCCTGCACGTGTGAGTGCTCTGGGAAGGCGCGCTGCTCAGCAGGGCCCACCTCAGGGGCTATGGTGGGTGAAAAGATTGAATCCACCCACTGGGGCTATGGTCACACGCCAGATGCCCACCGCCTGGCCTTGCACCCCTCTTGTCCCTGCGGGCCACTGCCGTCTTCCTTACCCAAGTCAATCCTGTGACTGTCTTGGGCCCTCCTGCCGAGAGCCCCAGACACCCACCTTTCCGGCCCTTCCATTTCCTTTGTCCTCTCCCCCCTCAGCCAGGCTCCCAAGCATAGGTTCAGACTCGGTCCTGGCCCCCTGCTTGCTCTCCACCTGCCCTGGTTACTGGCCTTGGCACAGATGATGCCACCTCTCTGTCCCCAGATCCAGGACTCCCCCAGACCCCTCACTCCCACTACACCCCAGGCTGGGCTAAACATGTCCCCCAAACCTGCTCTTCCCCTGGGCCCCATCTCAGTTCAACTTCCACCTCCCAGTCCATCAGATGCCTCCCTGCCCACCTGCCTGCCTTCCCAACGGACATGTGCTCTCGCCGCCCCCTGGTCCAGCCAGGCCCTGGCCTCCTCCCATCTACTCTACTGTCCTGAGTGACAGCCTGTCCTGTTTGGGCCACTCCCCTCACCCCAAAGGGCCTTCTCTTTGGCTTCTCCGGTTTAATCATCTGGTCACAAACGCCATGGAGTCTGCCATGACGTCACAGGGATTTTCCTGTTCACCACGGGATGCCCAGCCTGGAGGACAGGGCCTGGCACCTGGGAGGCGCTCCAGAACTCTCTGCCACTGTCCCCCACTATCCCTGCTGCCTGCGAGACCAGGATCTGCTCACTCTCATGTGCCCAACCCCTCCAGTCACCCCTTCCCCCTACTCCCCATCTGGTTCCCAGCCTTTTGAATAGGAACCGTCCCTTCCAGAGAGATCTAAATGCTGTGACTGCTTTTTAAGATTGCATAAGCTTTGCAAATAAGTATCAGACAAGGCATTCACTTGGGGTGTTTGCCTCGTTCACTCCCTCGCCCACCCCCATCAAGATAACCACTATTAACAGTAAAACAGTAATTACTCCAGATTTTCCTTTGCATGTAAAACTCATTCTTTTTCCAGAAATGAGCCAGACCATGGTGCAACTGTACGCCCACCTGGGCCTCTCCAGTAGCGACAGTGTTGCATTGTAAAGATGCACCATAGTTCATTTAACCCTACTCATGGCGGGCTGGGTGGCTTCCAGCGCTGCCCTATTACAGACAATGCTGCAATTTACACCCTGGGATTTCTCTCCTCTGGACTGAGCTGCCCTTTCTAACATGAAACCTTTTTCTCGACAGTGGTCATGCTTTGGAAGCCAGGCGAGGGAGAAGCCCGGGCCTGACGGGAAACCCTTGTGCCCTCCGCCATGATCCCGGAGCCCAGCTCTGAACACTGATCCCAAGTCTGCGGCTGTTTCCAGGTAGCAGACGTCGAGGCTCTCTGGACAGACTCAAGGGCCCTGCCCAGGACATGGGGCAACTCGGCCTAAGGGGGAGCTGGAGGTGCTGGGAGGGTCTTCCAGCCTCTCGGAGGCAGCCTTATTACCTCTCCCTGAAGTGTCTGGGAGTCACGGACCACTCCCTGCTCTTCTAGCTGAGGGATGGAGGCCAAGTTACTTAATGCTTGATCAGATTCCTCATCTGTAAAATGCCCACAATCGGCCTTACCGACTACAGAGATGCCGGGACGGTGAAATGAGAATTTGCCCATAAAGCATTAAGTGGCATGCTCAATGGGGGAGAAAGAGGCAGGGTGCTAACCAGGAATAGAACCAGTGGATCACTGCCCCCCCCCCCCCGCAAAAGCTACCGCACACACCCCACTCTTTCCTGCTCCCAGGTCCTGCACCAGGTTCCCGCTGGGTCCTCTGTACGGAACACTATTTCTCATCCTGCCTGTGGAAATTCTAAGTCTTTACTTTCCACCATGTGTTTGTATCCCGATGTGGCTCTGAGACCAGCCTGTGTGGCCCTCCAGGGAAGGGGGCTGGGGGAATTTTTTGTGACCCCACAATTGACACTGAACCCTAAGCCGCTTTCCTCATCATTTTCTAGTCACGAGTCCATGAGTCCAGGGAGCAAATCGGACATCTGCTTCTCCCAGACCCGGCACTAATGAGGTTGGGGAGGCGGGCAAGTGGCAAGGAAAGAGGAAAGTCTGGGAGAGCAGATCTGGGGTTGAGGCTGCACACCTTTCTATGATGGTCCCCAGAACCCATCATTCCCAGGAGGCCGAACCACCATCCCAGGGGTGTGGGGTGAGGGGTTAGGGCAGTGAGCTGAGGGCCCTGGGGGTAACTGTCTCCCCTCTGCCACCTCCCCCCAGTGGGGCGTGGGAACAAGTCCACCTCTCACCTTCCCTCCACCCTTCCCCCCATCTCACCTGGGCCTCTTGCACCTTCCCTGCCTGGGTCTCCAGAGGGTCAGAGGCTGGGGGAGGAGGGGGAGCAGACGTGGTTACAGTGGGGGGAATGGTTAAGGAGGAATGAAGAACTTCAAAGCAGGGGACGGGGCAAGAAGACCCTAGTTATATTGGGCTGGAGAGTGCTGGTAAGACAGGAAAGATGGGGATGGAGAAAGCAGATCTTACTGGGGTGGAGAGAGCTGGGGTGAGAGGTGGTTAGGGAGCAAGAGGTTAGGACAGGAAGGTTTAGAGGAAAGAGAGAGTAAAAGATATAGGGCATGGTGGAGCGCCTGGAGGAGTAAGGAAGGTCACAGTAGTATGTGCGTGTGTGTGCAAGGAGGGTGAGGTTTGCAAGAAGAGGGACTTCCAAAGGGAGAGCGAAGATAAGAGCTATCCAACTGGAAGAGGGTTTGGGAGAGGAATTGCAGTGGGTTCGTTTAGGAGAGGTACAGGAACCAGAGGGAAGAGTTACGAAGGGACACCAGGGAGTCCCCCAGGATTCTACAGTTTCCCCTAACAACCAGGTACCCTTAGTGACCAGGATCGCGGCAACCTAAGTTCTTAGCAACGAGGGTCCTCAGCAACCAAAGTGCGTGAAACGCGCGATCGTTAGTAAGTTGGGGGACGTGGCAAACGGTGCCCTAAAGCCTCGCGATCCAGAAACCCACCGACTTCACAAAAAAGATCACTTTGCAACGGATCCCCAAATCCCACTCCACCGCCCCACGCGTCCCGGACCTCCTGCCCCTCCACGCGCGCCCTCGGGCCCCGGGGCCTGCAGCCCTCAGCCAGGCCCCGGCGCGGCCCGACCCTCCCACCGGGGCCCCCGACTCACGATCCGGCTCGGCCATGGGTGCGGGGCGGGGGCCCTCGGGGCTGTCACCGACTGCTCTGTCCCGTGACGGCACCGGAAGCAGGAGGGGCAGCGATACCGCGGGGAACTACAACTCCCAGCAGCCACCGCGGCCGCGTACGCGCTGTGAGAGCGCGCCCTGTTAGATGCAGCCGACGGGCCAAGGCTGAACTACGAGTCCCAGAGTGCTAACGGGTAACGGGCGTCCGGAAAATGTGATGGGACCTGCTTGAGGGCCTCAGCACTTCTGAATACTCGGATTGGTCATAGCGTGGTAGCGGGGCGGGGCGTGTGCTATTTGATACGCTCTGATTGGTTGACTCAGGGGGCGTGGTGGGGAATTCCCCGCGGGGCGGAAGCGCCGACGCTCCGGGGAGAGCCCAGCGACAGGCGGGCGGCCGCGGGGCCCCTGAAGCTTCGGGGGCCATGGCCGGGGTCGCGTGCTTGGAGAAAACGGCGGACGTGGACGAATGGTGCGACAGCGGCCTGGGCTCTCTGGGTCCCGACGCTGCGGCCCCTGGAGGACCGGGACTGGGCGCGGAGCTGGGCCCGGGGCTGTCGTGGGCGCCCCTAGTCTTCGGCTACGTCAATGAAGATGGGGACACGTGAGTGAGCCTTAGCCTGCCCTGCCAGGTCCTCGATCCCACATCTGACTCCCTGTTCGTCTCTGAGCCGCGCCTGGCATCCTCTCACTGCTCAGTGTGACTGCCGATGCTTGCTTTCCCGACCTCTAGCCCCCAAGTCCTACCTTTACTACAAGCAGTCTCCTGGCCAACGCTCATCATAACCCAATCATTTCTGACTTTCCTTTCTTGGATTCAGGTCCTCAGAGTTCCACATCCCTATCTACTGATGCCAAAAACTCTAGTGACTTTCCGGACCCGAGTCCTGAGCCCTCTGTTAAAAGAGTAACTCAGGAAGGCTCCTCCTGACCGCCAACCTCCAAATATCGTCTTTGACACGAGCCTTACATTTGACTTCCAAAATATAATACGTAGTCTTTCACTCTAAGCCACCACCTTTGAACAGTAATTTTCAAAACTCTTTTTTTAAAACATGCTTCTACTAGAATATCTACTTATTAGTCAATTACTATTTTTTGACTAATCTTCAGATCTTACATTCAAAGAGAAACTATGAACTCTGTGAGAGCAGGGAGGCATTTTACACATTATTTTTTGAACTCTTCCAGGTTCCAGGCTCTGACTTAGGTGCTGGTGTGGATCAGTGAAGAAAACAGACAGTAGCGAATGCCCTGTGGAGTGTCCATTCTAGTGATATATAGACAGACTGACAGAAGGAAAGTAGGACTGATAGACTAAGAGAAGGAGGGAAGAAACAGAGGAGAAAAGACAGAGCTAGAAGGGAAAGGAGAGGAGACAGAAAGAAACAGGAAGAAATGAAAAATGGTATGCTAGAAGGTCATAAGTTCTTTGAAAAATAATGCAGGGAAATGAGACAAGTAGATTAGCCGGGGAAGTACACTCCAAGTAGAAGGAACAACAGTTGTGAAGGCCCTAGTGAGAAATTTTACCTGGTTTTTCCTGTGCTGATGTATCCTCAGTGACTCAATGAACACTGATCTCAAATAACCAGCTTTGGTTTCTTTATTATTTTTTTTTTTTCCTTTTTGGCTGTCAATTTCGTTGATTTCTGTCCTGATCCCCTCCCCCCCTTCTGCTTACTTTGTTTTCAATTTCTTCTACATTTTCTAGTTTCTTAAGGTTGAAACTGAGATTACTGATTTGAAACCTTTCTTCTTTTCTAATATAGGTGTTGCCCACTATAATTTTCTCAAAGTCCTGCTTTAGTAGCATCTCACCAATTCTGATAGATTTTTTAATTTTCATTTTATTCATATTTTGAATTTCTCTTTTGATATCTTCTTTGACTGATGGTTTAAAAATAGGTTATTTGGGGCCTCTCTGGTGGCGCATGGGGTTAAGACGCAACCTATGACGCTATCTGTAACCGCTGTAGCACAAGTTCGATCGCCGGCCAGGGAGCTACCCACATGGTGCAGCAGACCTCTCCTGACTTGCCCGCTGCTCCCCTCAGCGGTGTATTTCGTCAATCTGCCTGTTCTGTTCCCCACTCTGTCTCTGGTGAATCCTCTCACCCCGAGTATCTTTGGCCTGTACACCAGCTCTCCTATGCATAAATAAATAAATCTTTAAAAAAATATGTTATTTTGTATCCAGATACTTGGAAGACTTTCAATATCTAGAAAGTCTCCCAAACATCTTTCTTTTGTTCATTTTTAAATTTATCTGCATTGTGGACAGAGAACATACTGTGTCTGATTTGAATCCTTTTAAATTTATTGAGTCTTGCCTAATGATCCAGAAGGTGGCCTAGAGTATTGTGTGTACGCTTGAAAATAATGTCTATTCTCCTGTTCTAGTATTCTCTAAAGGTCAATAAGAGGTTGTGTTGATTTAGAGTATTGTTCAATCGGCTGCAGTCTGCTTGTGCTATCAATTATTGAGAGAGGTATTGAAATCATTAATAATCATGGATTTGTCTATTTCTTTTGGTAGTTCAAATTAGGGTTTTTTTTAAAAGGTTTATTTACTTATACATACAAGAACTAGGGTACAGGCCAGAGGTGCTGGTGGAGGGGGTGAGAGGATTCACCAGAGACAAAGCGGGGAGCAGAACAGGCAGACTGACTGAAATACACAGCTGAGGGAAGCAAAGGGTGAGACCTGTCTGCTGCACCATGTGGGTCACCTCCCTGGCCAGGGATCCAACTGGTGCTGCAGTGGCTGCAGATTGCTTCATAGCACTGACGCTTAACCCCTTGCGCCACCAGGGAGGCCCTTTTAATTAGGTTTTGCTTGGTTAATGTGCTCTGTTATTAGGGACACTAATGTTCAGAATGATTATGTCTTCTTCTTAACTGACCTCTTGATCATTATGAAATAACCTCTCCCTCCCAGTAGTCCTTGTTCTGAAATCTTCTTTGATATTATTATTTTTCTTTGCGTAGAAGAACTGGGGTGTAGGCTAGAGGTGCAGGGGGTGAGAGGATTCACCAGAGACAGATTGGGGAGAAGAACAGATGTATTGACTGAAATACATTGCTGGTAGGAGCAGTGGGTGAGACAGGAGAGGTCTGCTGCACCACATGGGTCAGCTCCCTGGCTGGGGATCCAACTCAGGCCGCAGTAGCTGGTGATAGCGCTGAGACTAACTCCTGAGCCACTGGGGAGGCCCCCCACCTTTTTACTTTTTTTTTTTAAGATTTATTTATTTATTGGGCCTCCCCAGTGGCGCAGCGCTTGAGCGCTGGGTTTCGAAGCTGCCCGCAGCCTCTGCAGCACCGGTTCGATCCCTAGAGGAGGGTCCCACATGGCATGCAGACCTCTCCTGCCGCCCGCTGCTCCCCTCAGCAGTGTACTTCGGTCCTTCTGCCTGCTCTGCTCCCCGCTCTGGCTCTGGTGAATTCTCTCACCCTCCTGCACTTCTGACTGTACCCAGTGCTTGTATAAATAAATAAATAAATCTTTAAAAAAAAAGATTTATTTATACAAGAACCAGGGTACAGGCCAGATGCGCGGGAGGGTGAGAGGATTCACCAGAGACAGAGTGGGGAGCAGAACAGGCAGACTAACGAAATACACTGCTGAGGGGAGCAGCGGGAGCAACAGGAGAGGTCTGCCGTGCCATGAGGGTAGCTCCCTGGCCATCTGGGAATCGAATCTGTGCTACAGAGGCTGCTGACAGCTTCACAGCACTGTGCTCAACCTGCTATGCCACCAGGGAGGCCCCACTTTTAACCTATTTTAAAAATATTGTTATTTTAAGCATGTTTGTTGTAGGCAGCATATAGTTGGGTTTTGTTTTTTTAATCAACCTCAACCTTTCTGCCTTTTAATTATACATTTAATTATAGATATACTTATGTTTCAGTTTTTCATCTCCAGATCAGTTTTCTATTTCTTCTTTATTTACCTTTGTCCTTTTTCTCTTCCTTCCTTTGGTAGAAGTAAGATTTATTCCCATTGTATTTCTATTGTTGATTTATTAGCTTTAACTGTATGGTTTTTATTTTTGTGGTTGCTTTGAAAGACAGGTTGGCAAACTTGCTTCCAGGCAAAATCCAGCCAGCCACCTACTTTTGTCAACTAGGAATGGTGTGTACATTTTTAAATGGCTGGAGAAAAAAGCAAAAGAAGAAGTATATTTTGTGGCAAATGAAAACAATATGAAATTCAAATTTTAGACTCTATAAGCCAGTTGGAATATATCCATGTTCATTTGTTTACTTTTTAAAATATTTATTTATTTATGCATACAAGAGCAGGGGTGCAGGCCAGAGATGCGGGGTGGTGGTGAGAGGATTCACCAGAGACAGAGTAGGCAACAGAACAGGCAGACTGATTGAAATACACTGCTGAGCGGAGCAGCAGGCGAGACAGGAGAGGTCTGCTGTGCCATGTGTGTTTGCCCCTGGCTGGCCGGGGATGGAACTCTTGCTGCAGAGGCTGCGGATTGCTTCATAGTGTGGTGCTTAACCCCTTGCACCACCAGGGAGGCCCCTATCATCCTTGTCTTTACTTAACTTTTTGAATGAATGGAATACAATTGAAATGAACAGTTTAATGTACTTGTCTGTGAATTTTAATGGTTGGGTTATTTCTGGGTCTGTTTCAAGTGATTATTCTCATGAAACATGTCTTTTTGCTTCTTTGCCTACCCTATATCTTGTATTAAATGCCCGGCATTGTGAATTTTACCTTGGTGGGCTGGGTGAAATGGTCTTGAGTATTGTACTGGGGTGCAGTGAAATGGCAAGTGGTTTGATCTTTTTGGGTTTTGCTTTTGTGATTTGTTTGGTGAGTCCTGAGTGCTTTGTCTAGGGCACCTTTTTCTCTCACTACTGAGCGCTGACCTTCCAGAATATTCTACCCCATGACCTGCGAATTACAGGTTTTTCCTAGTCTGGTTTGTGGGAATAGGCACTATTCCTGGACCTGGACACATGTGAGCCATGGACACATGTCTAATCCCTTTGGGTGGTCTTTTCTCCAAATTTGCGTGATGATTCTTCTGAAGACTGTGGAGTTGGCTGAGAAACCCTAAACTTAAAATTGTCCAGAGTGGAATTGGGGGGTTATTGGGAGAGTCCATCCCCCCAACTACTTGGTAACCTGGATTTACAGCTGCGTACATCACCCTGCACAAACCAACATCCTGGAAAGCTGGTGCTAGAGCCTCTGCAGAGCAGGACACCCACAGTGGAGTCTCCACCTCCACAAGGGCCGGCACCCTCCCATTTTGCACGTTTCTTCTTTCCCCCTTTAAAGAATCTCACTCATTTACCCATAGGAGGCGGCTCTGCCTAGTCACTTTGTATTTCCCCCACCTTGGGCACTTCCACAGCCTCTCCGAGGGGTGTTCCTGAATTCAACTCCTGCATGACCTCAAAGAAAACCAATACTTGAGGAGTCCCTCTCAGATTTTTGGGGGGCCTCTTTGTGTGACCTCTCTTCTCCAACACTCTGCCTTGCTCTCCTGAGCCTCAGCTCCATCTCCGCACCATCTGCCAGCATCCCCACTCCCGACGCCCCACCCCACACACCCAGTGAGTGATAGCCCTTGGGGCGTCTTGCCTGTCTCCCGTGCCCCCAGCACATCGGCTGTCACTGTGGGCCCAGCATCTTGCAGACTCTTCTTTCGTGTCCTTTTCATGTCTGGTTGGTTTTGGTTGATTCAGATGGAAAGAAGTCACCTCATACTACTTCATCGTGGGAGAAACTTGAAGTCCCACTTATTAAACACCAAGTAAACAAATTGGCTGGATTAACTCTGACCAGACCCTCCCAGGTGCCAGGCAGGGAGCTCCAGAACCGGTCCGAATGCTGCGCATACCGTAGATGCGCCATGCTTGTTGAATGAAGGAAGGACCTCTGTCCTCTGACCCCTGCCTTTCTCCGCAGAGCTCTGCACTTGGCGGTGATTCATCAGCACGAGCCCTTCCTGGATTTCCTCCTAGGCTTTGCTGCGGGCACTGAGTACCTGGATCTGCAGAATGACCTGGGCCAGGTGAGCAGCACTGGGGAGAGTATAGGACTTAGGGCCAGGGTTCTTCATGCCGCCCCTAACCTCTGCCCTCTGTTCCTGCAGACAGCACTGCACCTGGCGGCCATCCTGGGGGAGGCATCCACAGTGGAGAAGTTGTATGCGGCTGGCGCCAGGCTGCAAGTGGCAGAACGTGGTGGCCACACAGCGCTGCACCTGGCCTGCCGCATGGGGGCGCACGCCTGTGCTAACGTGCTGCTCCAGCCCCGCCCCCGGGGGCCCAGGGGACCCCCGAGCACCTACCTCTCTCAGGGCTCTGACCACACCCCTGACACCGACCATGCCCCTGACACCGAAGACAGCCCTGTTGCCTTGTACTCCGACTTGGAGAAGGAAGATGATGAGCATGAGAGTGAGGAGGACTGGAAACTGCAGCTGGAGGCTGAAAACTACGAAGGTGAGGGTCCGCGGTCATCCGGGCTTCCAGGCAGCGTGTTCGCTCCTGGCTCAGGGCTTGGCTCCCCAGATTCAAGACTCAGCCCTAGGCATAGGGACCAAGGAATTCCACCAGACCCCAGATTGGACACCTGGACCCACTTGGAAACCCCAGACCATTTGGGACCCAGACCTGTCACCTGCAGGCCTGACGCTACTAAGATCCAGATTTTGGGCTCAGGTCCCCAACCAGAAGGCCCAACACGTCGTGGACCGCAGTCCGCCCTGCAAACCACAGGTGCCGGCCCATCAGGGACCTCATGGAGCAGGCCCTCTGGGACACTCTGGCAGGCCAGGTTCCTGAGGTTGACTTCGGGGTTCAGGGACAGCCTGAATCATGGGAAAAAAGACCCCGTCGATCCAGTCCCTGGTATTGGAGTCCCAGCTCCCTCACCTCTGAGCCCAACTCCTTGGGACCAGGCGCCTCCACAAAGGGACTGAGACCTCCCTAGACCCTGTATTTGGGGCCCATTTTGTCCTCTCCCCCGCTTGTTACAAGCCCACTACTCAAGACCTGGGAGTTCTGGGACTCCACTGACCCCTCACCCCCATCGCTGACACCCGTCATTCCATCCCCAGGCCACACCCCGCTGCATGTGGCCATCATCCACAAAGACGCAGAGATGGTCCGACTGCTCCGGGAGGCGGGGGCGGACCTTAACAAACCGGTGAGCCACCCGAGGGAGAACGCGTGGTGGGATGGGGGTGGGGTCCCCAAGCCCAGGTGGGGCCTCCCCTGACCTCTCTGTTGCACCCGGCAGGAACCCACGTGTGGCCGCAGCCCCCTGCATTTGGCAGTAGAGGCCCAAGCAGCCGACGTGCTGGAGCTTCTTCTGAGGGCAGGCGCCGACCCTGCGGCCCGCATGTATGGCGGCCGCACCCCGCTGGGCAGCGCCACGCTCCGGCCCAACCCCGTCCTCGCCCTCCTCCTCCGCGCGCACGGCGCCCCTGAGCCCGAGGACGAGGACGACAAGTCTGGGCCCTGCACCAGCAGCAGCGACACTGACAGCGAGGACGAGGGCGTGAGTCCGGAGGAAAGACGGGGGGTGGGGGTTCCAGCCGGGGGTCAGGGTAAATGACAGGGGGCACGGGGGAGAACTGAAGTCGGGTGGTGCGCTGAGGCCTAGGGCTGCGGGCGGCGGTGCCTGGGAGAGGGGCAGCAGCCGGGCAGGCCTGGGCAGCGGCGGGAAGAACGTGGCCGCGGGGGTGGGGAAGGGAAGGCAGCGGCAGAGGTGAGACACAGGCAGAGGCAGAGAAAAGACCTTGGCCCCGGGGACTAGAAAGCGGGCGGCGGTGGGGAGAGGCCTCAGCCGGCGGCGGGGAGGCTTAGCAGGTGAGCAGACAGCAGAGACCGCGGGCCTGGGACGAGGCTGAATGGTAAGGGCGGAGGAATTGGGGTGAAGGCAGCAGGGAGGGGTAGGAGGGTGCCCCAGTGGCTGCCGGAGGATGTGGGTGGCAGGGGCCAGAGTCCGCTGCCGTGTGGAGCGCACAGGCCGCGGGGCAGGCCTTGAAAGGGGAAGCTGGAGAAGCAGGAGCGGGCAAGTTGAACCATGAGCGGCTGGACTTGGGCTTCGGGCAGACCCAGGTCGTGGGGTGTGGGAGGGGAAGAACTTGGGCAGCCAGCCAGGTGGCAGCCGCCTGAGCCCCTCTGCCTCGCCCCCTCTGCCCCCAGGATGAATACGACGACATCGTGGTCCACAGTGGCCAGAGCCAAAACCAGCCACCTCCCACCCCAGCCGCAAAACCTCTCCCCGACGACCCCATCTGACTTCTTTGTTAATAGCATTTCCGGTTTAATAAAATCCCAGTCCCACAACCAGAGCCGAGGCCGCCGGCCGCCTCTGCGGTCCTCCCGTCCCTCCCGGGCCTGCTGCCGCCGCGCGCCGCACACTCAGCCCTGGTGGTTTTCTGTGTGCTTTATTCACTCGGAGGGGTCGGAGTGGGCGCCGGGGGTGTAGGGGTGCTCCTGAGTCGGTCTGAGCCCTGCCCCTCTCCCCAGCTGTTCCAAGGTGCCCTCTTCTCCCCATCCTGGCAGGAAGGGGAGTGGAGTGGGGTGCCAGGTGAGGGGGGGCGCCGGGGGTCCACAGTACTGAGCCATAGTGTGGGGAAGGAGAGCAGGGGCCAGGGCTCAGCCCTCCCGCCGGAGCTCCTGCCCCAGCATCTCTGTCGCCTTCTTCAGCTCATCTCTCATGTGCCGCAGCCGCTCCACATCCTGCTCCTGGGGGGATCGGAAGTGGGCTGGTCAGCACCCACCATACAAGGCGGGCCTGTCAGGTGCCACAGGGGCACCTAGAGATGGTGGCATGTGAGCACAGGGGCTGCCGTGATCCTGGAAGTGTCATGTTGGCCAGTACGGCCCAGCTCTGAGGCCTGTGGTCGCCGCCGTCGCCAGCAGCAGACGGGACTAGCAGAGGTGCCCCCCCCACCGCCCCGGGGGCACCACGGCCCATTTATGACAGGCTGGCTATCAGGTGACCCCACCGGTCCTGGTGAGTCTTACTCCCCATGCCCCGGCAGTGGTGTCCCTCTGTGGCCCAGTGGGCCAGGCATGGCGGCCACTTTTCATGTGGCCGACTTGCTTGCCAGGGACCAGCAATGGTGGCGCAGACACTTCTCTGCAAGGATGGCGGCCACTTGGCGACGATAATGGAAGCCACTCGGTGTGGAAGCCCTTTGGCCGAGGGGAGCAGCCATTTGGATGTTGCTACTGAGTGCTGCTGTCGGGTCTAGTCACCAGGCCCACCCGTGCGCGGTCTTGCTGCTTGTGGCCCAACACCAGAGGCTGTCTGCTAGTAACTGCACTGACCGTTTGGTTCACCCTGCACCCCTACCGCCGCCTCCACTCACCTCCCTCTCAGACGCCTCTTCCTTCTCCTCCAGCTTGGCCTCAGCCTCTGGCTGGTGGAGGTGACCGGGGTGCAGCACATCCTCATGCCTTTCTCCTCTGCCCCCTTCAGCCCCCGGCCATAGGCCGCGGCCCCCACCCAGCATGCCCTTCTCCGCCTCGAACTGGGCTGTCTCCTCGTCGCTGGCCTTCTCTGCCACCCGCTTCTGCAGGCCCCCTCCTTCCAGGGGCCGCTTCCACAGGCCCTCCAAGGTCTCCACAGGCCTTTTCTTTTCCTCCTCCTCCTCCTCCTCCTGGCGGAGCCGGCTGTGCAGCTGCTCTAGGATGGCCTGTTCCCGCACCTCAGACTTGTGGGTCCTCGCCGCTGCTTCCTCCTCTTCCTCGTCCCTCACCTCCTGGCTGGGCCTGGTCTCCCCAGCCTCCGGCTTCTTGACGTCCCCAGCCAGCAGGCCTTTCTCCTCGCTGGCCACACAGCCGTAGGGCTCTGTCTCATACATCTCTGGCACAAAGAGAGGAGTGCTTTGTGCAGCTATCAGGAAACAGATCTGGAGAGTTCTGGGGTCTGCCCCTGGTCCCACAGAAGGACTCCCTGGGGCTGGGAGAGGAAGGTTAAGTGCTGCGGGACCGTCTCTGCCCCCAACCTGCACCCCTGCCTGGAGCGCCAAGGGTGGGGCTGGGCCCTGGCCCATCAGACTGCATGCACTGGGCAGGCTGTGCTGGCTCAGGCTAGAGGTGCTGGGGCTAAGAGGACACGCCTTCCTCCAGGCAGCCCTGGGTGGGGTGGGGGCTCTGGAGAGGAACGAGGAGCCAGGCCTTACCTTTGTGGAGGAGGGCCATGCAGGGTCCTCGCTGAGCCTGGCCCAGCGTCAGCACTTCTGTGACCACCTCTGCCAGACAGCGGGTCAGCTGGGGGGTGAAGGGTCAGAGAGGAGGTTGAGGGCGGAACAGATGGGCGAATGAGAGCAGTTGGAAGGTTAGCGAGGAGATGAGGCTCATGGGGGTTGGGCAGGGAGAGCCCCAGAGAGATGAGGCAGGGCAAGGGGTCCACACTCACCTCCTCCCTGGAAGGTCTTGGTGCCAAGGGAGCTGCAGTGGCTGTGGAGGAAGGAGATGGGTATGGTGTGGGGGTGGGTGACCCCGGAGCTGTCCCTGGTGCTGATTCCAGCTCCCAAGGCGTCCCAGCACCACACGGGCCCTTCAGCCCCTCTAGCAGGTGCACTGTTCCCACCTGGAAGTTCACCCCCTACAGTCTTTCCTCTGGGTCACAAGTCCCTGCTCTCGGGACCCACTCCAGGGGCCCCGTCCCCAGGTTTCTAGCACTCACCCGCGCCCAGCAGCAGTGCCAGCAGCGGGGACAGTGGCAGCAGGAGCAGCACGGAGGTGGGGCCGTGGCGCTGCATGCTGGGGCTTCCTGACCTGGGTCCAGCGATGTGCGGGCCGCGGAGGCAGCGCCTTATAACCCACGCTGGGACCCCGCAGGGGTGGAAGTGACGTCAGCGCCAGCTTCTCCTGGCCCACAACTGGGCGACAGCTGCCAGGCGGCAACCTGTCTGAGACCCTCAATTATTCATGGGGACCCACACCCTGTGCCCGCACCCCTCCGTCATCCAGCCCCCCCGAGCACCAGCACAGAGGAAGGATGGGGGCTCCTCTGCCCAGAGAAACAGGACTTGCTGAGTTTAGTACAGTACTGGGAGGCAGGGCTGCATTCGAATCCAGCCGGCCATTTACAGATCGACCCCAGGCCGCTCCTTGGCCCCAGTTTCCTCATCTGGAAAATGGGTCTCATAAACACACTCCTTCAGTGGGTGTAGCTGGCTCTGCCCGAGTCCCAGCTTGGCCACTACCAGCTCATTCCCGGGACCATTGATTAACTAAACCTGTTTCCTCATTGAAGAGGCGAGGCTCTGTGGTGAGGACTAATTAACTCACCGTGTGTGCTGGGCCATGGGCAGTGCCCCGCGCTAACTGCTCCGCTGGAGCTGCTTCCGTCCCGCCATTTTGATTGGCGTGCCGGGCCCTCTTCTAGACCCTGGGGCCACGGCCGTGAAGAGCCCCGCAAACTTCCCTGCCCTTTCGGAGCGGTTACTTGTGAAGGGGAAGAGCGACAACACTCAAATCCACACAAGGTGGATGGGGTGCCCGGTGAGTCACGCCCCAGTGTGGGTGTAGAGACTGAGTGCTGGGGCTTTTTCTTCAGGCTGTGGTGGTCAGGGAAGTCCTCTCTGAGGAGGTGACATTTGGGCGAAGGCCTGAGTCATCAGGTGGCGGGGAAGAGAGGCCGGGGAGAGGACTAGCAAGTGCAGAGGCCTGGGAAAGGCTGTGTCAGAACCGCAAGGCACGTGGGGGCGGCCAGAGCACAGCGGGGGCAGGTCCTCCAGAGCCTGGGGCCCACGGACACGGAGACACTGTCCTGAGTGAGATGCGGTCATGGGAGGGCTCAGCAGGGCCCTGACCCGGGTGTCCATGGGGTCCCCGCGGCTCCATGTGTATGTTGGGGTGCAGGGAAGGGGATGTAGGGAGAAGGAAGAGGCTGGGGGACCTCTCCAAACAGGTAGCAGTGGACAGGCCCTGGGGCCAGGGACCTAGAAAGCGAGGTCAGGTCTGGAAATACTTTGAAGGTGGAGCTGCCAGGATTTGCTGATGGACCAGAGGTGGATGAGAGAGGTGTGAGAGGAGACGGGCTGTGGATGTGGCCTGTGCGCCGGCAGCCTAGTGTGTGTGCTGGGATGGGGAGGAGCGAGTTCTGGCTTCCACGGGGCCATGCCACTTATCAGAACCCCACCAGGAGCTGGGGCCGGGCCAGTGCCAGATGTTATTCTGTCCCAGAGGCCCCCCAGTCACCCACCATGTGCTCTGGACATTTCCAGCCAGCCCTGTGCCCATAGACTGTTGGTGGATTTAGTGCCCGAGCAACTGTCTGGCAACCCGCCAGGGCACCTCCCACAGACCCCCAAAGGCCTTTGTTCTGACCATTTATTGGGGACTTCTGCTCAGCACCCAAGGGAGGGAGAAGGAAGGAGGGTTGCAGGTCTCTCCTCCCCCTCTCCATTCATAGAACTTTCTTTTCTTTTTTTTAAAGATTTATTTATTTATACAACAACTGGGGTACAGTCAGAGGCACGGGAGGGTGAGAGGCTTCACCAGAGAGAGCGGGGAGCAGAGCAGGCAGATGGAGGGGAGCAGCGGGCGAGACAGGAGAGGTCTGCTTCACCGTGTGGGATTCTCGCCTGCTGGCCGGGATGGAACCCGCGCTCAGAGGCTGCGGACGGCTTCACAGTGCGGCGCTCAACCTGCTGCGCCACTGGGGAGGCCCCGCCATCCATAGAACTTTCAATTCCCCAGACGTCCACTGCCCCGTGTAGGCGGGGGCTCCCCATGACAGCAGCGCTGCTGACTGCACCGAGGAGGTGGGGAAGCAGGAGCCCGGGGCCTGCTGAGAACTGCAGGCATCAGGACGGGCTTGGGAACAGTCCCCAGGAGTCCAGGGTCCCGGAGCTCCAGGAGGGGCCGCCCGCTGTGTGGGCAGATGGGGATGCGTTCTCAGTTCAAGGCAGCTGGCCCGGGAGCCTGGGCTTCTGGGGCTGGTTGGGGCCAATGTACTGGAGCGGCACGTGGGTCGGCGCCGTGATCCGGTCCGTGCCCAGGTAGGGCTGGAGCGCAGGGGGCACCAGGACGGAGCCATCCTGGGGACAGAGCAGGTCTCAGGAGGCTGCCACTGCCCCCGTCCCCACCCACCGCCTCTCCCGGTGGGCTCCTGGTGCCCCTCACCTTTTGCTGGTTGCTCTCCAGGAGGGCGATGAGGAGACGAGGGACAGCACAGGCCGTGGCGTTCACCTGGGAGAGACACATGCTTAGGCCCGGGCGCTGGCCGCTGGGGAGGGGCGGAGGGGCGGAGGCGGCGGGGCGCGCGGCCTCACCGTGTGGGCGAACTGCAGCTCCCCGGCCTCTGTCTGGAACATGATGTGCAGGCGGCGGCTCTGGAAGTCCGTGCAGTTGGAAGCACTGGTGACCTGGGGTGCGGGGTGGACGGGGGGAGGCAGTGGGGTGGACTGAGGGGATCAGCTGAGGGGGCAGACCCGTCCCCCGTCCCCACCGGGATCCGGTCTCACCTCGCCAAAGCGGCCGCGGCCAGGCATCCAGGCCTCGATGTCGAACTTGCGGTAGGCGGGAAGGCCCAGCTCCTGGGTGGGCATGTCCAGGACCCTGCGGCCATGGACAAAGACGCGGCGCAGGTCAGTGAGGGAGAGGGCAGGGCGGTGGGGATGGAGGCAGGCGAAGAGAGGAAACAGAGTGCATGGGAGCAGGAGTCGAAGTAGAGGGCAGAGGATGGAAAGAGGAGGCGCACAGAGTGGCAGAGGAGGAGGCGGTGGCGATGGAGAATGTGCTTCGAGGAGGCAGGAAAGGGGCTGATGGGTGAGGAGGAAGGCTGTGTGGCTGAGCCTCCAGGTGGCCATTCTCACCTCCTATTAATAGCACCCCCAGTTTTTGTAATGGGCGGCCCAGAAAAAAGTCCCCATTTCTCAGCATCTCTTGAAAGCCCAGGGTGACTGATGGGGTGAGAGCGGGCACGGGGCTTGCAATACAGGGGTCAGCCATGCCCGTACAGCGAAGGGGGCGCCCTGCTCTGTCCCTCCCAGTGGATGTGCAAAGCCACCCTGGTCCATGCACCCTAAAGATGGGGAGCAACAAGAGGGAAGGGGCCTGGGTCTCAACACTGGCTCGCCCTGTGCCGCTGACACCGCTGTTATCACCCTCTACACCCATGGGGGCGTTACAGGCTGGCTGAGACCCTAGATCCAGCCCGAACAGGAAGATGGGGGCAGAGGGAGAAGAGGTGGTGAGGATTTTCAAGAAGTGGGGGTACCTAGTCAGTCCTTCCCCACTTTGCTCCACCCCCTACATCAGCATCCCCCGCTTCCTGCCCCGAACACCGCTGCTACCGGAAGTGCAAGCCCAGCTCTGTCAAGATTTCCATCTGGAGGGCCAGGAATTCCTCCAGCAGCCGCGAGCTCTGCTCCAGTCCAGGGCCTGTCACCCCGAACATCTCCACCTGGGTCAGGGCAGGGGCACAGGAGTCAGGAAGCCCTGGCTAGTGGGGTGACTCCCCTGCCCCAGTCCTAGTAGTGCCCACCTTGGTGAAGTGGTGCACTCGATACAGCCCCCAGGGCTCCTTCCCCGTGTGCGTCTCCGCGCGGTAGCAGGTGCTGGCACAAACCATTCTGGGGGAGCGGGGAAGGCGAGGTCAGGGGGTGGCGAGGGAATGTCGCAGATGGGCATGGGGAGCGGGCGGTCACCTGATGGGCAGGTCCCTGAAGGCCACGGCGTGGTCCATGAAGTAGCCTGGGAGGAGGAGGGACGGGACAGAGTCAGCCGTGCAGGCGCAGGGAGGCTTTGAGAGAACCAGAAAAGGCGCCCGCTCTGGCAGGTGCAACCTCACGGCAGGGCGTGTGGCCATCTTCCCTGTTTTGTTACACAGTCAACAACCTATGTAACTGTACAACACACATCAGCCCTGGGGCTCCTGATACCCCGGGAAGGCAGCTCCACCCTAGATGATCCTGGTTGCCCCCCACAACCCCTCCTGCCCTGAAGACACTGGAGGTGACCTCACACCACTTCTTGGCCCCAGGCATGCTCACCTGCAAGTCCCACCTCTGCTGTCCCGGCCAGGCTGAGGTCTTCAAAGCGGGAGGGGTCGATGTTGTAAATTTGGGATGGACTGGCATTTGGTGTCATCCCACAGCCTTCCTGGGGGTGGAGGCCAGGCCGCAGAGGTCAGGGGGCAGGCCACCTGGGCCGTCTCCATTTTGCAGATGCACCCCTTGCTCCTCCCTGGGAAGCATCTGGAATCGCCTGGCCTCCCTGTTTTGAGCTGACCCCCTCAACCAGGCCCCAGGAAGGTGGCAGGGGAGCTAGGATGGCCTCCCACGGGGCCCAAGAACCGGGCCTGACACACCACAGGGCGTGGGCGGCACAGGGCCCTCACTCACAAACACGGCTCCCCGGAGAAGGTCTGGCACCGTCATGGGGGTGAATCCCTGTGAGGGGAGGGGTGAGCTGAGCAGGGCCAGGACCCCAGCAGACCCCAACTCGGGCCTCAAGAAGGAACACTGTGTAGGGTCCAGTGACGCCCCCATCATGCCACAGTCCCTTGTACTTCAGGGGACACTGAGGAGGCTAGCGCAGGGTGTGCAATCACCCTGGCCATAGGGTCCTGGTCCCTGGGGCCCTTCTATGTGATGATGTTGTGGTTTTCTCACTTAGTCCATCCCACATGGGGCAGCTGGACATGTTCAGCAGGACAGATCTGGCCACATCTGTCCCCTGCTTATAGCCTCCTGTGGCTCCCTAGTGCCCTAGGGAAAGTCCGAGGCCCTCACCGCGGCCAGTGGCCCTCTAGTTTCAATGCAGCTGCAACCCCCAGACAGGCAGGCAGGTGGTGATGGGCAGTGGTTACAGCACAGGCTCTAGGGCCAGAGCCACATACGAGCCAGACCCTGGGTCAATTACCCCGCCCCAGGACCTAATTTCCCCATCTTTAAAGTAGGGGTAACAATAGCACCTCCTCATTTAACGTGTCATTAATACACATAAAGCTCTGGAAATGGACTGGGGCAGAGGTCACCTCTCTCCTCCCTGCCTTGAACCCTCAGAATCAGCTTCAACGCCCCCACCTTCAGGCCGCCCTCCCCTCTTGGCGCATACCCGGCGGACGAGCTTGTTGAGTGTGAAGCTGACCAGGCCGTGCTGCAGGAGGGCCCCGGCCCCACGCAGGTAGTAGGAGCGGTGGCCCGACACGTGGGACAGGCGTCTGGAGACAGATGGGCAGACAGGCAAGTGCATGTGGGCCAAGAGGGGACTCCAGCACCCCGGGGGCAGAGGCCCAGCTGCCAGGCAGAAGCCGGGCATCAAACATTCATGCTGGGCGAGGCCCAGGTGGTTCCACATCCCACACAGAGCCCCAAGTGACAAGCCGGCTGCCAGCTGGTAGGGCGGGGAGGGCCTGGGCCGCGGGGGTGGGCGGGGGAGGGGGGCTCACTTCTGACGGATGATGTCGAGTTTCTCGGCGATTTCCAGGTGGCCCCGGGGTTGGAAGGAGAAAGCTGGATGTGAATGCAAAGCAACGGGGTGAGGGGGTGGGCAGGCCGGGAGACGGGGAGCAGGAACAGAGAGGATTAGAAGCACAATGGGAAGGAAGGCAGGCCGACAGAGGAAGTCAGGGCTAGAAGAGACAGCGGGAGAGGAAGAAGGAGCAGAGAAGCAGCGACAGAGAGAGACAAAGAGAAGGATGAAGATGGCGGCGGAGAGGGACCGGAAGGGGGAGCACGAAGGCCGAGGAGGATGGGCAGAAGAGAAAGGAACGCGGGGAAGGGAGGACGCCAGGAGGAAAAGTGCAGGGAGACGAGGGGGTCAGAGAGATAGAAACACACACAGAAGACAGAGAAAGCCCGTGAGGTGTAGGGGAGACAATGAGAACTGGGGACCTGCCCTGCAGACAAAATCCCCAAAGGGGCAGGAAGATGGAGCTACCTATGGCAGTGCCAGGAGTTCTAAGGGGTGCAATTCCCAGCCCCAACTTGGCGACCCCTGGCCTGGGGGGTGGCCCACCTGGTTTGTCTCCGACCACATGGAGCACACGGGCCTGACTCTCATCCCCGACGGGCTGCAGGGAGACAGCAGGAGTCAGGGGAAGGTGGCCCTGGGTAGGCCCTGGCCTCCCCGCTGCCCGGCATGACGCTTACCACATCTGGGTGGGTCTGGTTGGGCAGCCTCAGGGCCCGCAGGTAGAACTGCTCCTCAAGCTGGGCCTTCTTGGGGTACAGGAGCATGAGCTGCTTTCGGATCTCCCGGCCGTGTGCCCGTAGATTCTGATACCTGGGGTCCTGGGGGCAGGGCAATCGGGTCAGCCTGGGAGAGGGTGGGCAGTCCCTCAACTAGTGTGACCTTGACCCTTGCTTGCAGAACTGCTGTGGTGGACATTTGTTGCCTGTTTTGGCCCAACAACCTGAATTTCCTTTTGAGAACCTCCCCTCGCCACCACGTGGCACATGCACAGGAACATCACTCAGGTTGCCTACATTCCATTGCCTTGATAGGCCTAAAGGCCAGCACATGACCCAGTCCCAGCACCATGGCTAGAGCTGTCAGGGAAGTAGGCCTCTTTGTACCCGACCCTGCCTCTCCCCTCTCCAAGGGGAGAAAGCTGATCTAGAAAATAAAGGAAGCAGAACCATATCTGGAGCCAGGACCTAGATCCAGCTGTACCTGAAGCTAGCATTTTAGTTTCATGAATCATAGTGCCTGGTTTTCTCCTTCACCCTGTTTGAGTTAGATTTTCTACCACAAATAGGGGAGGATTCATGACAGATGTCTTCTTCACACTGCCCACTCCCAGTGGGGATAGGACATCAACTCCCTGTAGTACCTGCTGCACTTGTTTGTTGTCTTGGTTTACCTGGTAGAAGAGAGACAGAGAAAGTGATTAGGTAGATTCAATGGGGAGGAGATGAGGGGGAGGCAAAAAAGAGGCGTGAAAGTTCAAACAGGACCAGGGCATCTGAACTCCATGCTCAGACAGTGCCTGGCACGTGACGGTCGCGATACACACATCCACTATTATTTTTGTGATAGTTTTGAAGCCCTTGGTGACAGATGCTGTTGGCTGTGTAGCTCAAGACCATTTGCCATCCTCCCTCCTTCTCCACAGACCCCTGACTGCTCCCAACACAGTCTGTGTTCAGAGAATGTGGGCCCAGAGGACCGGCCCCTTCAATATCTGAGCCCCCTGAAGTAGCTGCAGTCCTTTTGCTGATGCCTGGTGTGGGTATGGGGTACCTGGGCATGAGACCTGAGGGGACTTTGCTGGATGCTTCAGGAAGGTCTTTGGTCTCTGGCAACAGGTGCTCAAGTACCAGTTGTGCTTGAGCAGAAGTAATTTCCTGCCTCTGGTGGCTGAGTCACACAAGATGCTGTGCTACAGCAGCCAGCTTGGAGCTGTGAGAGGGGAAACTGAGGTCAAATCAGTCTAGTGAAGTGATGTTGCAGAGGGAGGAAAGAACTTGAGCTGGCAATGTTGGGGAGCACCGCTAATTCATCCACCCCAGGGAAGCCTGAACCTGGATGACTTGTAACGTGAGGTGGTAAATGCCTGGTTACCTGCAGCTGAGAGCATCTTGGCTGCTACCCCTCACCCAGCCAGAACCCCAGGCTCACCAGCAGGGCCTGCACAGCCTCGGCCACAGCCCCCTTCTCCTCCTCCAGGCTTTGGATCTGCTCCCGCAGCTGTCTCAGCTCCTGCCAGGTGGAGATCTGGGGGTGGACACAGGAAGAAGGGGGTTAAATGGCCATTGTCCCCTGCAAACTGGCGCCTCCTCTAGTGAGTACCTGGACCTGCAGTGGGGTGAGGCAAAGACCCCTCACTGTCCCTGGTATGACTGTTCTCCCCTCTTTCCCTTCAGTTCTAGAACTCCCTGTGTGTAGCTGGGCACACAATTGCCCAAAAGGCAGACTGCTTCCCTGTCCTGTTATCACTCCCAGGTGCCCAGACCAGTGGTTATGAGGGCAAGTGAGTGGGACTCTTGGGCCCCCTCCTTCCCGATAAGCCTTCAAAAGGGCTGTCTTTCCTGATCCTTGGCCTGGATGTGGATCCTGAGGAAAGCTGAAGAGGCTATTATCCTATGGATGCAGAGGGAGAAGATGGAAGGGCCTTGATGCCAAGGGGTGACACGGAGCTGAATCTTAAGTGTCTCTTCTGATAAAATGAGGTTGCTGTGAAACTTACATGTATATGTACGAAACTTTATATGTATAAAGCACTAGGAACAAGACAGTAGTGGGGTCCAAGAGAGAGCTGGGAGGTTTTGGGGTCCCCACGAGCTTCAGCATCCCAGCTGATGACTTCGGTTGTAGTTCCCCAGGACGTAGGGTTATATACGTGCGAGCTATTATTAAAAGCTATATTATTAATATAGTTATGTATAACTATAATAATTATTATCATTCACTGATTGATTCTCAACACCTGGGGCATAGCAGGTGGTCCAAAATATTTGTTCAGTAGAACCATGCCTTCATGAACGAGCCCTCTTTAACTGCCAGCTACTGTGGGGTCGGTGAAGGAGTCCACCTCTCCAATTCACATCCCTGCCCCCCCATATTCCTTTGTGGCCTTAGGGTAAGGCTGGCATGAGGTCAGAGCACAGAGGAACTGGTACTATAGTAAGTTCCCAGGGCAGACCAGTTTCCCGGGACGCTTTACGGAACAGGTGCACAAGGCGTGTCTTAGAGATTAGGACCCTGGCATTCAGAGGGCAACTGGCACATGACTGTCAAGCACAACACGGGCTAAGCGCAGGTAGGAACTAAAATTCACGGGTAAGCCTGTTCCCTGCTGGAGAGGACCTCACAAGCCCGCGGGTCCGTAAGGACAACAGCCAATCGGCAAAGCGCCCCAGTCCCGCGCAATCGCACTCACGATCGCGGGCAGGTCGTCCGGCCGCAGCTCCCCCTTGCGGAGCTCCAGGGCGCGGGCCGCCTCTTCGGGGCATGCGCACAGCGGCTCCATGTCCAGGTGAGGGAGCGCGCTGTAGCCCTCGCGCGCGTGCTCGTACAGAAGGTTCCGGTCTTGTCTCTCCGTAACGAAATCCCTCCTGTGGCTCTGGTTGCAGACGCAACTTCTGGGCCGGAGCCCCCGACCAGCCACTAAAGGCCACAAACGTCGTGCTATGGACGCAGCCATCTTGGATAGGGGACGTGGAGTCACGCACTCTTCGTCCCACCCTCTTTGCGTTTAGACCAATTGCAGAGCTGTGGTCCCGTAAGTCCCGCCCGTGTCGAGATTGATACTGTCGTTGTCCAATCGTCGTCTGGGCCCCGCCCCTTCAGCTGACGCGGGAGGCAGACCCAGCCAATCCCTGCCGAGATAACCCCCGGAAGGGACTGGAGGAGGTCTTCAGCGTGTCTGCGGGACCCTGTTAAGGTTGGAGCGAGGTCAGTGGAGTCCTGGGCTCCTCGCCTGTTGGTTCCTCAGTTTCCCCTTTACTCCTGTACGCGGGCGGGCGGGCGGGCGGGCGGGGCAGGTGCCCGAGAACCTATTCAGAGCGAGCTAAATGTATGGAAGGACTTTCTGTTGGCAGCAGTGTGGTTAGACCTTCAGAGGAAATTCCTTAGATTTATCCAGAAGCCGCCGACGGCGGGACGGGGAGAATTAGCACCTTCGTTCGAGAACGACCACTTTCCCTCCCTCTCTGAGTCTCTTATCCCCTTACACAGGGACGCTGCAGGCGGCGGGATGTCCTGGTCCGGCCTTCTGCGTGGCCTCAAGACGTCCCTAAGTTATGGTGAGTGGGGTGCTTGGGCTGCAGAGACGGGGCTGGATGAGGATTACCCCTCTGGGGCTTGTGAGCTGCTGCCGCCTCCCGGAGAGAGCCGGGGTTTTAAGTCAGCTGGCACTGCAAGGGCAAGATGGGAAAAGCAGTTGCATCGAGGCTACTCTGGAATTTGGCCTAAGGGTTGTTTTTTTCCGGTATATGCTTATTTTAAATCCCAGCGTGGATGAGACACCCAGGCAAAGCGTTGTAGTCATTCAGTATTTTTCAAGAGCCTAGAGTGTACCAGGCAGAACTTGGTCCTTCTGCAGACATCAGATGCTTCTCATGGGCCGTGATTGTTGTGTTGATTCACTTACTCAGTCTGCAAACCTTTATTCAGCACCATCCGTCTGCTGTTGATTAAGTATCACAGGGCTGGGCAAAATAGCCTGCCCCCAACCCCCTCCCGGCCTGGGCCACCTGAGTTTGTTGACATTGGGATCCCATATTGTGCTGAGGAGGGAGATGTGGTTATGGTGCCACCATACAGATGAGGACTCAAGGCACAGGGAGGCGAGGAGTCTCGTTCAATGGCGTATCACTAGGAAGAGATTTCTAAGAAGGTCTCCGCCCCTTTGAGGATTCTGCTGTAATGTGAGACATGCAGTGACAGTAAGGCCAAGACCAGGTATGGAGGAGAGTGTGAAAAGTCATCCTCGCTAAGTGACAGAGGATGGACCTCAGCCCTGGACTGGAAGCTCTAAGAGGGCACAGCCCAAGGCTCTCTCAATCCTTCCTGAGTCTCTATTGTGGAGGCCAAGTCATCCTGGGTGCATGGCAAAGAATCCAGTTACCTTTGCTCCTTCTTACATCCCACATCCTATGAGTAAATCCTGTTGATCTGCCTTGGAAAGAGACAATTGACACTTGAACTTCATGGGCATTATGTAAGCTGCTCCCCTACCTCCTTCTCCCCCTCCCCCAGTTGAAAGTCTGTACACCTTACAGTTGCCCCTGTGTATTTGAAGGTCCTACTTCCGGGGATTTAGCCAGCTGACTTCTGAGGTTGGCTGAACACACAGATATAGATGGCGCAGGTAGACAAGTGCCTAAGTGGGCCTACAGCTCACACTCCTGGTGTTCAAGGTTCAGTCCCTCCACCCTGCCTGCCCACCCGCCTTTCTCTTACTGCACCGCAGCCATGCTGGGCTCCTTTCTGTTGGTGTGTTTGCAGACTGGTGTGAGGGAGGGGGCGTCGGGGGAGATGAGGTCAGGCAAGGAACGGGAGCAGATTGTGTGGGTGCAGTGAGCACTTCGGCGTTGACTCTGAGTGAGGTGGCACCACTGGGGTCAGGAGAGGGATGGACTCTGATGTGGGTTTCCACAGGGCCCCTCTGGCTGTCTTTGCAGATGTGGGAGGCGGAGGATGGGATACTGGGGGGAGAGTCGGTGAGGATGGACAGACCTGTTGGATGCTACGAAGGAAGAAGAAAGAGGTGGATTGTGACCAATTTTGAAGGTTCCGCTGGCGAATCTGCTCATGATGTTGGAAGTGGGTGTGACAGAAGGACACATCCTGGAACACCCCACAGAGTGGCTTTGTGGTGGTGGGGGGGCATGAGTTGACACAGGCACTGTGCACTTGACAGAGCTTGAGCCTCCTTGTTTTGATCACTGTGTTTAAACGGCATTAATCCGGCCTCCCGGCTGTCTTTGCAGGCCTAGCCCTCGCCCCCCGGCCCTGGGCCACCCGTGCCATGGCCACCCTGAACCAGATGCACCGCCGGGGGCCTGCAAAGTGGGCGCCGGCCCGGCCAGGCCCTACGGAAGGCCGGCCACAGCTGAAGGGCGTGGTTCTGCGCACCTTCATCCGCAAGCCCAAAAAGCCCAACTCGGCCAACCGCAAGTGCTGCCGCGTGCGGCTTAGCACAGGCTACGAAGCCGTCTGCTTCATCCCCGGGGAGGGCCACAGCCTGCAGGAGCACCACGTCGTGCTGGTGCAGGGTGGCCGCACCCAGGACCTGCCAGGCGTCAAGCTCACTGTCGTGCGAGGAAAGTATGACTGTGGCCACGTGCAGAAGAAGAAGTGACCGTGGGACCAGGCGGGCGGGGCTTGTAGGAACAGAACCTGCCTCCCTGGGCTCCTGCGGCGTCCTTGGAAAGCAAGTCCAGCTCTGGCAGCAGCCACTCCTGGGATCAAATCCTGGCTCTGCCTCCTCCATCGGGACTGGCCTGTCAGGGCCCGGATGTGTTGTCATGGGGTACACTTCTGCCTGGACAAGACACTGTACTGCCTGCCCTCTGCTGGGAAGGGGTTGCAATAAACACGTTCTCCAGGTGGTCATGTGGACCCCTAGTGCTGTGGGCCCTCACGGTGGCCCTTGCCACTGGCATCCCTGTTGGGCCTTTGTTTCCTACACCAAAAATAGCTCCACTTGCAGTAACTCCTCTGTCATGTTTGCATGACACAGGCTGTATAGGCCTCACCTCGCGTGCAGGGGGCTATTGTGTTAAAGGTGGGAGTCAGGAGGCCTGGCAAGCTTCCTCCTGAAAAATAGCAGTTGCTGTAATGTTGGTGACAAAGGAATGTTGAAAGGATTGAATGGGGTGGCCATCCCCGCATGGGAGCCCTCTGCCTGTGCTGGTCTCAGACTCCCACACCTTTCAACGCCTGCCTCCTCCTGATTGTTCCGTGACATGGGGTTTATTTGTTCCCCCTGCTGGGCCTGTTTCCTCCTTTGGAAAATGGAACCAAGAGTAAAACTGGCCTCACCTGATCATGTACTCTGCCCCTGGGAGCTGGGAGCTGTGCTGATAGGTCTGGGCCTGGAGCCCCACTTGGGTCCTGCCTCCGCTGCTTCCTGGCCTAGTTGCCTCAGGCAGGCTGTTTTCAGCCTTGAGTCTGTTCCTCCCTGGACTGAACGGTGGAGGTCACATGCATGTCCCAGAGCTGTTGGGAGAACTGTAGAGAACCCAATGAGCACTTTCAGCAACTTCCTGGTTCTCTGAGCCCCGGGCTTAGCATACCCCCTAAAGTTCTCGCTTTTGGAAACATTCCACTAGGCCTTTCAGGATCAGAGCCTGCTGCAGGCAAGTAAATGGATCAGATGAAAACCCCCATCACCACATGTTTAGCACCAATTTTATTGTGCCAGTTTGGTTGCTGTGCCCAGCTGGGGAGGTAGCGGGGCCCCTGGGGTCAGAACAGGAGAGCTTTCCTTCCCAGCAGGCCTTGCTCCTGGAGCCCCTGTGCATGTGGACTTGAATGTGGAGGAGGTAATGGCCAGCAGGAGGCGAGCTGCCCCATGGGCGGAGCAGGAGGTAGCCATGGGGGACTGTGTAAGGGGTCAGTGGATACTTGGCCTCATGAAATTGGAAAGAAACAGTCTGGGCCAAAGGGAAGGTGTTGGTGGGGGCTGCATGGGCCTCACAGCTGAACCCCAGAGACTCCAGAAATGCAGAAAGAGCTTCCTTCGATGTCTCCAGTTGCCCCTCCAGGACAGCTGGTCAGGGCTGCCTCTGCTTCCTGCCGGCAGCCTGTTATCTAGGGGTGGCAGGTAAGAGCCACGGCCAGGTTGTTGGCAGCTTTCTCTTCGCTTACAGTTCCTGGTTTATCCTTCCATCTGTGCTCCGTTGACACATGTGCGAAAGCAGTTCTCTGCCCCCACCCAGGAAGCTGAGAACGCTGTGAGCAGCATAGTTTGGGCCCTGGTTTTTCACCCAGCGAGGGTTCCCGGGCAGCATATGGGGAACAGACCACGCGGGTCCCCCGAAGTCTCCGGGCAGCCCCTGCTCCTGACTGCAGAGGCACCCTCAATGTCCCCAGTGTCGTGCAGAAGGCAGGTCCTCCCGGAAGGCCGGATCAGGCTGGTGGGCTAGGACAGGCGGATCCGGACCCTCACGCTGGAGTGGGTCACCAGGGCGCCATAGTGCCCCACCCAGGACCGCGTGTCCCGCCCGTACTGCTCAAAAGACACGTAGCGGATGCCCTTGCCGAAGTTGCTGAAGACGTGGGAGACCTGCGTGGGGAAGGGGCGCGACCGGCTGAGGACCTGTGGGTTCCTCTTCCTCCACCTGAACAGACAGATGCCTCCCAGGGCACCAGGCTCTGTTCTAGGCCCTGGGGAGGCAGCAGTGAAGAAGGCAGCGTAAAGACCCTGTCCCACCCCCCTCAAGCTGACAGTAACTCGGGGACTCACACCTGAAGATGGAAGGGACAGAGGGGACCCTGCGGGAGGAAGGGTGGGCTGTCAAGTGATTTGGCAAAGGCCCCAGTGAGGGGACATTTGAGCAGAGACCTGGAGGAGGGCAAGGAGCCCATGGGGATCTGGGGGAAGAATGTTCCATACCAGAGACAGTCCATGCAAAGGCCTGGAGAAGTAGGCGGGGTCAGGAAAGTAATGGGGCCTGACCACTGTAGGTCACCTGACCACTGTACCTTTTGCAAATTTTTAAATTTATTTATGCATACAAGATAAGGGGTGTCGGCAGTGAGAGAGTGGGGAACAAAACAGGCAGATGTAGTGAAATACACTGCTGAGGGGAGCAGTGGGCGAGACAGGAAAGGTCTGCCACACCATGTGTGTCAGCTCCCTGGCCGGCTGGCCTTGATAGCGCTGTGTTTAACCCCTGCACCATCAGGGAGGCCCTTTGCAAATTTTTAAGAAAAATGAGATAAAACTTGCCTCACAAAATTGAAGCTGTACAATTCAATGGCTTTCAGTATATTCACAGTGTTAGGCAGCCATCACCACAGAATGTTCCGGAACATTTACATCATCACAGGGAAAAAAATCCTCCCATGCCTCAGCCGTCACTTCCAATTCCTCCCTTCCTGTCACTGCTGGGCCTTGGGGCTCCACCCTGCGCAGTCACACACCAGGTGGCTTTCCCGGCCTCTTCCCCTCAGTGGTGTGTTTCCATTCCTTTCTCTAGCCGTGGGTGGGACTTGGGCTTTTACTTGCAGATGTATCCGGGGAGGGCTGTAAGCAGGGGAGACTAGTGATCTGACTAGTTGGAATGGGGTGTTCCCACTGCTGAGCCTGCCTTGGGAGGGTGGTGGGTGAGGGGCGGTGGGTGAGAGGAGTAGAAAGTAGCACCTAAGAGGTTCCCAGCATGGGAGCCGGCCTGGGCATGAAACCCGCCCTGCACGCTGCAGTGTGATTCTGGGTCACTTGCCTCCAGCGGCTCTGTTCCCCAACTCTAGGAGGGCATAGAGGACTGGTTCACCGCTGCGTCCCCGTGCCTCGCGCACAGGAGGTGCTCAGTAAATGCATGTTGGATAACTTGAACCAGGCCTGGCATGTGAGGCGCAGGACTGTCAGCTGTGATTACAACAGATACTCAGTGAGGGCTGAGAACAGGGACAGCCTGACCCACCTGCCGGCAGCCCCTCTCAGTCCACTGCAGGACCGGGTTTGGTGACGCCGAGAACTTGATCACTTCGTTTTCATACACGTCCAGGAGGCGGACCCGCAGCCGGTAGATGCAGCCGCAGTTCTCTCGGGCGCCCCACCTGCCGGGTGTGGTGAGCCTTGATGCCCCCCCCCACACCTGCCCAGGTCTCTGGGCCACGGGCTGGGCTCCCTGCGCTTTGATGATAACACATACCCGCACGGCACAGAGAGAGCCCCAGACCTGGAAGCCTGGGGGAGGAGCCTGGGCCTTCAGGGGGTGGAGCCAGGTTCGGAGGGTGGAGCCAGGGCTGGGGGAGGAGCCTGGGGAAAGAGCCCAGTTTTAGAGGCTCTAGGTCACATGTGTGTCTGGGGGTCGGGGGAGGTGGTGTGCTCTGGAGAGGAGCCACAACCTAGGGGAGGAGCCTACAGCAGGTGGGAACCTGGATATGGTGGGATGGCCACAGCTCTGGAGAGCAGCTGGAGCCCCAGGGAATAAACTGGGCTCCCTGTGGAGGAGCACAAGCACCTTGAAGAATGTTTCGTTGGGGAGGAGCAGACTCTGAAGCCAACTAGTGCTCATCCTGTCCCAACCCTGTCGCCTCTGAGCCTCAGCTGTCAGCACAGAGTGCCCAACCCTCCAGAGGCATCCAGAGCCCTCAGGCCAGGGCTGAGTTGTAGGGGTGGGGATGGAGGGTGAGGGGTCGTTTTCAGATCAAGCCCCCATGTCAACAACCCCAGGGCCTGCTGGGCCGAGGGTGTTGTGCAGAGTGGGGGCTCCGGGCTTGTCGGGGCTCCACCCCTCCCTGGCTGTGCAACCCTTAGGGCAAGGCTTCTCCTCTTTCCCTCGGCCTCCCTCTGAAGGGGGCACAGAACCATGGCTATTCTATGGGGCTGATGGGGGTTGAGATGAGCCCCTTCTGCAGAACCGCCCCCCACACTGTTGTGCTCCAGGGTAGGTCTCCATTCCTCACTCACCAGTCAGCAACGCAGATCTCGATCTGGGCACTGTCCAGCAGCTCCTGCCACACCCCCTCCATCACCAGGTCCACCAGCTGCCTCTTGAAGCACCATCTGGAAGGGGTCATGGGGGGAGCAGTCCTGTCACTCAAGTCACAGTTCAGGAATCACCTCCAAGAAGCCTTGCCTGACAACCCTGTCTAAAGCATGTGTTTAGGGTTTGTAAGACGGGTGGGCATCCCCACTGACCTCTGGGATCCCCCACTATTCTCCACCCTCCTCTGGGCCACAGGAGGCTGGCCTGTAGGCAGGTTTGCCCCTAACATTTGTGGGGACTGGGACATGAGGACAAATGAAGACCCACATCCCAGACATCTGAACGGGAACTCTGGAACCTCCTAAATGATGGAGGACCAAGTTCTATGCCTGTATGGGCTGGTCTCCCTTACTCTCTACTTGCTAGTGAGTCAACCAGCAGGAAGCTCCAGCAGGCCATGGGAGGGAGAGGAGGGCGTGGGGGTATTTACCCCCCTGGCTCCCTCCTAAGGGTTCACTGTGGGACTGGGTCTGTCAGTGAGAGGCCCTCAGCACCCTCTCCTTTGTCTTCTCTGCATGGTTGTGTGACAGCTTCCTCCCCTTACCCCATCGGGTGGTGGTGATGGGGGGGTAATGACCCTTCCCTACTGTTACTGGCCCAGGAGCCTGGCAGTGTCCCTGTTGTTTGCCTCCACCTTTGCCAACCGTCCTCCACTATTTTGAATGTACCGTGCTAGAAGTGTAATACCGGCAGAACTTGACCAATGGGGCAGGACAGTGCACAGGGACAACCTCTAGGGGTGTATGGGAACCTTATAAATGATAGAGGTGGCACTGTCATCTCATGGGGGACAGGTGGATTCTTAAGTAAAATGGTGTTGAGAAAACTGAATATATGGAGGTGGGGGGGGGGGTGCACTTGTTTCTTACCCCACACCACACTCAAAGGTGGATCCAAGGTCTAAATGTAAAACTATAAGGCGGTCACAGAAGACAGTGGAAGAATACTTTTAGGATCTAGGGGGAGGAACTTTTTAAACAAAATTTCAAAAACAAAAACTGAAGCAAAAAAGACGAAGTGGATCACAAAAGAATGAGACTACTGAATAAAAATCACCGTGGGCACAGTTCATACAGGTGGCACAGAGGGAGAAGACTGCTCTAATGGGTGGACAAGGGACTGGCATCGAGAACATGCAAGGAATTCTTGTATATCAACAAGATGAAGACATGACTCCTAATAGGAAACGTAGAAAAGAGGGAATCTTAAAAAAAAAAAAAAAAAAGCAACACATGAAGAGATGCTGAATTATTTGTAAACTGAAACAAACAGCAGTGAGATGATCGCTGCACTCCCAATATATTGGCCGCTACAGAAAACTGGGTAATGCTCCTTGGGAATGCTTGACTGGGGAGAGAGCACAAGGAACACGCATGGGCATGAGGATAAGAGAATCAAAATGCTTTGAGGTCTTCATAGCATTTATCACAACCGGAAGCTCTGGAGCCACTTGGGTTCAAATCCCAGCTCCCCCACGTCCTAGATGTCCGCTACCCTCTGTGCCTCAGTTTCCTATTAAGTGGAGACAGTAAGTGTCCGCGTCAGCGTGGTTATCAGGATTGAGGGTTATATATAAAGCGTCGGGCATACAGCAAGCCTCTAAAGGCTTTTTGTGATATTAGTATTTTCTCTTTATGCGTTCAGTGTCTCCCCGCCCTACATCTAAAATGCAAATACAAAAAGAAAAAAAGCAGGTTCCCGATCCTGCAGCGTTTTCCGTGTGTCTCGGGCAGCTAACACTGCCTGACACCTGGCAGGTCCTCCGTAAATATTTGTTAATTGAATAAATGAGGGAGAGGCTGGAGGTGGGTGAGGGCGAGGGGGGTGGGGTGGGGGGAGCCCATCTTCCCCTCCCTCCTCCGATCAGTCACTCACTCGAAAGAAGTCACGAAGCAGGTCTGGGCCGGCGCCCCGGGCACCAGTGTCAGGTTCCTCTCCACAGCCCAGCCGTTCCCGCCGTGCTCCACTTCCCAGCCTCTGAAGCCCTCTGTGGGGTACAGCAGGATTGCACTCGGGGGGTTTGCCTGCCAGCTCGCCCAGGGCCCCCGCCACTCCCCACTTTGTCCCTCCCACCAGCTCCGGCCTCCCGATCTCGACACAGGCCCGGCCCATCCCCTTGGCTGCTGGGCCACGCCGGCTCCTGCTCTGCACCGGCCTCCCCGGCCCCGCCCCCGGGATCTTAGCCCCGCCCCTGGATCTTAGCCCCGCCCAAAGCCTCCCGGCTCCTCCTACTCTGCGCCCCGCCCGTCGCGACGCCGCGACGTTCAGCTCAAGCCCCGCCCCCGCCGGCACCCAATCGGCTTCTCGCCAGCCCCTGGCGCCGCCCACTTTTCCCACGGCCTCTGCCACGCGCCTTTCGCGGCGGGCGCCCGGCTCCCTGCGCGGGCGGCTCCGTCTCCTCCCCCCGGGCCAGGCCGCTCGCGGGGGGCTCCCTGCACCCGCACCCCCCGCCCCGGCCGCGCCCTCCCGCTGCTCGGCCCGGGCCCGCACGCACGCTCTCCGCAGGAGTTGAAGATGAGGTTGCGCCCGAGGGGCGCGCGCAGGCAGTAGCGGGCCAGCGCGCAGAGCGGGAACTCCTCCGGGTCCTCGCCGCGGGGCGGGTGGCGCTGGGCCACCGCGTAGAGCGCGCGGCCCTCGGCGCTGGGGTCGCGGGCCAGCCGCAGCAGCCACACGGTCGGCCCGTCCACCACGTCGCGCCAGGCGCGGCACACCGGGCGGCAGCGGGTCACCAGCGCGCGCGGCGGCACGTGGCTCAGCACCTGCACCAGCAGCTCCGGGGGCAGCGCGTCCAGGGCGAGGGGCGGGTCCGCCGGCAGCCGCCTCCGCGAGGGCCTGGCGCCCATCTCCCGCCGCCCGGGCCCTGCAGGTGGAGGGGTGGGCGCGTCAGGGCAGCCTGACCGGCCCCCGCCTGTCCTCCCGATGCAAGGCCCCCCACGGCCCCCGCCAGGTGCAGGGGGCAACGTGGAGACTGGAGGGGACGCGGAAACCAGGCACTCGATTCCTGCGCTTGGCTCCCAGGGACGATGGAGAGACCTTTGTCCCCACCTTTTTCCCTCCAGTGAAAGACCCCTGGCCGACCTTGGCCCCGCCAGGGCTGCTAACCACATCTCCCACCTCTGGGCGGCGCCCTTGCGTCCGGCTGATCGTGTGCACCTAAACATAAGCACAGGAGGACCCAAAAATCCCACGGAGGCGGTGCAAACTATTTCCACCCCATCCCTCAATTCCGGGGCCTCTGGAAATCACGACCAGTCTTCAGCGAAATCTATTTCTTCAGTCTTTTCTTGGAACACTTACCACCTTGCTCTCATTGAAACTGGATCCCCAAGGCATAGGCTGTTGGGCAAAACTGGCTCTCCCTGCCTAAGTCGGGATATGCAGCTTTGCTGGTGCCACTGCTCTCCTGCCCCCACTCCCCCAGGGAGTACGCAAGTGTCAGCAGCCCCCAGGGGCGCTCTGAGAGCCCCACCAGCAGCCCCATCCCCTGCCCTGGGCTGCAGAACCGTGCTGCTTAGGGGAAGCACACTAGACATTTTATCACCCAAGGCCCCACGGGGGCTCAAGCTGCTGGCAGAGATTCCCTCTATGCTGCCGCGGACATGCAGGCCCACTGAGGCTGCAGTGGCAAAAATGCCCTGTGCTGGAGTAAATTCTGGCAGAGGAGGCAAAAGCAAGCCCCGTGGCCGCTGGCTCAGGGCTGCAGAAGCAGCACGGGGTCGCAGGCAGTAGAGAGGCGCGAGGGCCAACATAGTGGGCTCCTAGCCGAGTCCTAGCAGCTCCCATCCATGTCCCAGTGCGACTGCAGGCTCCCTCCACCACCTGGCTGCCTCACTGTGAGCCCCACGAAAGGGGCATCTGCGTGCCTCGTCATGGTGGTCCAGCCCACAAGCTGACCCCGAGGTCAGGGCAGGTGGAGCCTGTGGAAACACCAAATTTTCCAGTTAATATTGGGCACCTGGATTGTAGAATGAACCAATCAGGTTCAAGCTCAGCTTATTGGTGCAAAACGATCCAATCAGCTGCATGGGATTGAAAATGGTCCAATCAGACTTGGGCAGGGGCGGGGGAAGACTGAAAGAGGCTATAAGGCAGGGCCGCAGGCGGCTTAGGCATTCTGTTCCTGGCCTGTGAGGAGGGGTCAGCAGCTGACCTCTAAGGGAAGAAGAGAAGCTGAAGACCACCACCGAGACCCAACCTCTGCTCCTCCGTCCGGCCCTGCATCTGACATCACCTGCGAAGAGCACTATGGGCCCTGGCTTGGCATCTCACAGAGCTGTTTCTTGTTGGTGAACAACAACTCACAAAGAGCTGCTAGCACTTGGTGCCTCTGAAACTGCCTCTGGTGACTGGCACGACTGGCCAGTGCTGTCCAGCACTGTTGGCAGATGACTGGCCCTCAGTCCGGGTCGCCTTTGAGAGCTGTCCACTGCTTCGGATTGTCTAGCCTGGCTTTCACACCGGCTGCGGGCTGCTGCTGGGATACCTCAGCGACCCCACCTGTGAGCACCTCCAGCTGCTGTGAGTTGGACCCTGGCCGGCTGCTTGTGGGTGCGCCATGAGCTCCAGGCCTCGTTGATGGGACGGCGCCATTTTGTACAAGCAGCCTTTTGTTCCAGCCTCCTGGACACTGGACACTCTCTGGGGTGAGCTAGCCGGTCACTTGTGGCCTTAGAAATTCTTTGCTTCTTTGTTTATTTGTTTGTCAAATAAACCCCATTGTCATTCCCGAGTGGCCTTGCCATTGAGTGCTTGGGTGAGAACCCCTAGTGCCCGGCCCTCTACCTGCGCGAGCCCTGGTTCAGAGCCAGGTCCAGCCCCCTTCCCCCGCCCCCATCCCTTCCAAGAGGGTAGATGATGAATGTGAACATCAGAGTAAGTCGGTCAAGACCCCACTTCCTGCCTCATCTGCTGGCCACTCCGCACTGTGTATTTGAGGGTGTGTTTGGGGTACAGGGAGGTTGTTATGGGTTGTCACAGTGACTGGGGGATGCTACTGGCATTCCGTTTCTGGGGGCCCACCGTGCTTGGCGGATCGATTCTTCCCCAGACAGTAACACGGGGACATAAGCCGTCTCTGTCCCTTCAGCACTTGACAGTTTCCCTCAGGAAGTGCCGTCCACACCCCTGGCCTTGCCGTGGGCAGGCCCTGGTTAAATCCAGCCCTGCGCCTCCCTGCGTCTGCCCCCTCACGGTGGAAGTGGCTGAGGAACTCACAACCCCTCGTCTCACTTCAAGTTTGTGAACGACCCTCACGTGGGGACCTACTGCCCCCCCCATCACATTATGTTTTCTCTTACCCCCTCCCTCTTCCTCTCTGTAGACAGCAAGGTGACGCCTTCTCCCCAGCCCCTAGCCCACAGCCTTCTTGCATATCTTCACTCTCCCCTGGCTTTTTTATTTTGCAGAAAAAAACCCCACAAGTGATGAGAAGCAAACGTGCACAGGCCCAGCAGCCTATGTGCTGCTGCCTACCCTTTGCCCCTCACCCCACCCCGGCCAGGGCAACTGATGACCCCCTTGGTGCTGAACCAGTCCTCACTGTTCAGTTGGGCCTTGGCTCTCCTGGACTGTGTCGGCAGCACCTGACATGGGGCTCACTCCCACTTTACTTGCCTCCCAGCCACCACACCCCCTCTGACGACCCCCAACCCGGTGGCTCCTACTCACTCTCCTTGGCTGAACCTTCCTCTTGCCTCTGACCTTGAGATGCCAAGTCTCTGACATGAACACTCACTCCTTTGGGGGAACTCATCCATCCTGCTCCCCTCTCTCCTGGATCACCACTGTCTCCCCACTTCCCCCAGGTATCCCCACAAGTAGCCAGGTCATGTGTGATGCCCCTGCCCCCAGGGGCTCCATCTTAGGGCAAAGGCGAGTCCTTCCTCGGGACCCACAGGAGTTGCCCTGTCTCCTCCCTGTCCTCTATCCCGGCCACACCAGCCTCCCCAGCTCAGGGCCTTTGTACAGGCTGTTCCCTCCCCATGGAGCCAGCTGATTGCTCTGCCCCCCCTCCCCATACTTCACATCCTTGCTCACAGGTCGCCTTCTCAGTGAGAACCTTCCCGGCTACCTTACCTTCAGTTTCAGGACTCTCCACTTCCTCCCCCTGCACCCTTGCTCCTCTGGAGCAGCAGGCCAGACAGGAGAGGTCTGCCGCGCCATGTGGGAATCTCCCTGGCCTGCCGGGACTCGAACCCGCGCTGCAGAGGCTGCGGACAGCTGCACCACCGGGGAGGCCCCCCTCTACAGCTCTTACCTCCAGACATAGCGCATGTCATCAAAGCACAAGCAACATGCCCCATCACCGCCTGCCTCCCGAACCACGCTGCCATAGCAAGGACAGAACTACCATTTCTGTAGCATGTTATCTGTCATAGCATCCACGCCGGTGCCTGACACCCAGGAAAGGTGTTCACTGGTTGAACGCATGCATCGTCACGTTGGAAACCCACTTCACAGATGAGGAAACTGAGGCACAGCGGAAGTTCTTATTTGCCAAGACTAGTGAGCAAGTCACTTCATTCCTCCCCCGCCTCGCCCCCATGAAGTGTCGTTGCTGGGTTCAAGTCCCAGTCAAGCTTCTTGCTGAGTCCCTGGGCTGCCTCACTAAGTGCTGTGTGCCTCAGTTTCCCCTTCTGTAAATGAGAACGTTCGCAGTAGCTACTTCATAGAGTTGTGCAGATTAAACGAGTAAAGCACTGAAGCTGCTGGTGTGTCCTAACTAGGAGTGCCATTAATTTAATATTTGACACTAAATTATATTAGTTGCGACGATTGTTATTACACATCATAAAAAAGGCAGGAGCAACCATTGAGCCATTATATTTTCATCTGGTGACATTTATGGGGACGTTATGAAGCCACAGTGCCAAGCACTGAAGTTGGAGTACGTCGTCCCCTCATGGGATGGGCAAAATGGCCCTTTGTGGTCGCCCTGGATTAAGGGGCTTCCATGACCTCGTGTTCCTGGTGTAACGGAATGCCAGTCAGCGCTCGGTTCATGTCAGTGAATGTTTGAATAAATGGATCAAGGACTTGTTAAGAAATAAGCCCTTGGGGCCTCCCTGGTGGCGCAAGGGGTTCAGACACAACCTATGAAGCTATTCCCAGCCTCTGCAACGCGAGTTTGATGCCCGGCCAGGCATGGCACAGCAGACCTCTTCTGTCTCGCCCGCTGCTGCCCTCAGCAGTGCATTTCAGTCAGTCTGCCTGTTCTGCTCCCCACTCTGTCTCTCTGGTGAATTCTCTCACCCCCCACACCTGTGGCCTGTACCCCAGCTCTTGTATGCATAAATAAATAAATCTTAAAAAAAAAAAAAGAAAGAAGCTCTTATCGAGAAGGAGGGGGAAGGATCAAAACAGGGGAGGGAAGAGCACAGGGCCCTGTGGTGATGGCGCACGGGAATTTCACAGGGGCCACGCCTGAAGGGAGAAAGCATGCATTGTACAAAAATGAAGAATGATGTCAAATATATAAAATTTTAAAAAGAAAAGAAATAAGCCCTTATCAGTCAAAGGATCCAGGAATATGGCTCAATACCCCGTTCCCCCCACTGCAGAATAACTGATGGGGAGACAGGCTGCAGGGATTAGGGGGTGGTTAGTCGCATTAATAACCAGCTTCAGTTTGCAGGCGAGTCCACGGCTTGCCTGGCACGGACATGCAACTCACCAGAGTGTATTTCGGGGTCTGCTCTCCTTAGGATGTGCTGGTGACTGGAAACCTGGGACTCTCAGAGCTGGGGTGACCCCCTCACACGAGGATAGCCAGACTTCACCGAGGAGCACTGACCTTCGAGAAAGGTGCCTTGTGAGCCCTGAATATCCAAAACGCTTGTTGGGGGTGCTCTGCTGAGGGGCTGTGGAGCCACCACACCCGCCCAGCTGGGTAAGTAGGGGACAAGTATTGCATTCCTGCGACTGTGCATTTGGGGGTTGTGTGTTTGCCGTACAGGGAGGTTGTTATTGGTTGTCACAGTGACTGGGGGATCCTACTTGCATTGCATTTCTGGGGACCCACCACGCTTGGCGGATCGCTTCTTCCCCAAATAGTAACACGGTAACAACCCACCTGGCTGTTCTCCAGCACTTGACCAGTTTCCCCAAGAGGTGAAGTCTGCACCCTTGGCCTTGACGTGGGCAGGCCCTGGCGATGCTTCAGCTTCTAGCTGACGCTGCTAAGGGCTCTGTGGCCATGTCATAAAAGCAGATACCACCTCGCCTGGCTCTGGGGGGGTGGGGGTGGGGTGTGCCCTCGGAGCCCCGAGTCCAGCAGTGTCCTGTGAAATGCTTAACCATGAACTCGGGCGGGGGGTTGGCTTGGAGCACTTACTGAGGTGTGTTTTTTGTGATAACAAATCACTTTCAATCATGTGCCCGAGGCTGCACACTTTATCATCTTCACGAAACTCTTGTCACACTCGATGAAGTGATAACCGCTCCGCGTCTCAAATCAGGAACATACTTTTGAATTGTTGAAGCCCAATCCATAGAATTAAAACCAAAGTCAGAAACCACCCGCCGCTGCACTGTTCAGGGAAGGATTTATGGTCACCGCTTGGGAGAACAATCAATATCCAGCAGGGCCTGTGGCCGGGGCTTTCAGACTCTCCACTGGGAGGTTTTCTGAGGAGACACGTGGCTAGTCAGAGGAAGGGGCAGCCAGGACCAGAACAAGCATTTGCTGGTTTCTGTGGCATAAATACGCACACTGTGGCTGGTCGTAAGCTACCAAGTGAAGCCAAAACAGTCGGGGGTGGTGCCCGCAGCCGCCACTACTGACACCGAGCTGTGCCGACGTCCTCACCTGGGGAGAACGCCTGAAGAGGGTCAGAAATGCCTGAGGGGCTCTAGCTGCTGGGGGTGTCTCCATCCCAGCTGCTAGATATGGGACTGAATAAGTCTCTGACCACCGACTGCCAAGAACTGCTTAGCTGAGTCCCATCAATCCCCAGAGCTGCAAAAATAATAAAATGATTCAGCCACTGCATTTCAAGCTGTAGGCAGCTCCAGCTAGAGGGCCTGATGCGCAGTCACCTCCACTGTGTGGTAGAGGGACCCCCCGCAAAGAACTGTCCTGCCCCCCCAGAACCCCCAATAAGATCCAATGGGCACCCCAACTGTAGACGTATCTGTGTTCAGATCCTCACTCTCTGCTTGCGGTCTGCGAGATCTGAGGCAAAAAATCCCTCTCCTTTGAACCTAGTAAATATAGTGCTCGCTTCGGCAGCACATATACTAAAATTGGAACGATACAGAGAAGATTAGCATGGCCCCTGCGCAAGGATGACACGCAAATTCGTGAACCTAGTAAATATAATGCAGGAATAGTGTGCTTTGTTTTTAAGCCATGCTCTTTAAAGAATCAGAAATCTAGTTGACTGTTTTTATTGCCTGTTCCACGGGGCTCATTCTCTTTTTTTCTCTCCATCCTATTTATTGTGATAAAGTTGACATAGCCTGAAACTACCATCTTAACCATTCTGAGGTGGACCGTTCAATGGAATCACTTGTATTTAAGATGCGCTACCATCACCTCCAGAATTCTCCCCACCTGGTGACACAGCAGCTCTCTCTACCCCCAGCTGTGCTTCTCCTCCAGTGGTTATTGGTTACCTTAATCTGTTGCACCCTCTGTCCTATTTTCTGTCTCTATGATTTCGCTAAATTATAAGCAGAATAGTACAATATTTGTCTTGTTCATGATTGGCTTACTTGGTATAAGTCTCCAGGTTCATCCGCGCTATAACGCATTGCAAAATAGCCTTCCTAGTTTTCAGGGTTGAATAATACTCCACGGTATGTTTATACTCCATCTTGTTTATCCATTCACCTGTTGATGGACACTGGTTTGCTTTGGAGTTTTAGCTATTCTGACTGCTGTTTATTTTTGTGGGTGTGATACCTAGATTGTATTTTATTTAAAATCCTGAAATCTGAATCTTTCGCGTCTTGAGATTGTAGTCAAAGACTCAATTCCTTTTGCGATGAATATATGGGTTGAAAGAGAAAAAAGTTTTCTACCAAGAGTTTTAGGCGGCACTAACATCTCTGATGGGGCAGAATTATATTCATTTCGGAAGCATTTTCCTTCTGTTTCTTGATCTGAGAGCTGGCTCCATGTATGTTTAGCTTGCTTTAAATAGTTTACAAAAATTGGTAACAGTAATAAACGTTGAATGGGTACTCCATGGACAGACAAAAGGATGTTAAAAAAACAACCAAGTGGAAGATTTTTTAAAAGAATAACAAAACAGGGCCTCCCCTGGTGGTGCAGGAGGTTGAGCACTGCGCTGTGAAGCTGTCAGCAGCCACTGCAGAGCTGGTTCGATCCTGGCCGGCCGGCAAGGGTCCCATATGGCGCTGCAGACCTCTCCTGTTGCGCCCACTGCTCCCCTCAGCAGTGTATTTCATCAGTCTGCCTGTTCTGTTCCCCGTTCTGTCTCTGGTGAATCCTCTCACCCTCCCACGCATCTGGCATGTACCCCGGTTCTTGTGTAAATAAATAAATAAAATCTTAAAAAAAAAAAAGAATAACAAAACAACAAAAGACAAAAGAACCCCCGAGTTCAGTCCCTGGCCAAGGAGTTGACCCCCATGGTGCAGCAGACCTCTCCTGTCTCACCTGCTGCTCCCCTCAGCAGTGTGTTTCACTAGATTTGCCAGTTCTGCTCTGTCTCTGGTGAATCCTCTCACCACCACACCTCTGGCCTGTACCCCAGGTCTTGGATACATAAATAAAATAAATCTTAAAAAAAAAATGTTATAAAGTCCGCCCCAAAGGTAACAAACAAAAGATGCTGCTATTTCAAAATACAAGAACCCTTGGAAACCATGTAGAGTTAGCTTAGTTCTCTCCTCAGCAGTTTGTGAAATTGTGGAGGAACTGAGGTCTTTGAGTAACTGGAGACTTTTGCACAAACCAAGCTGAATATGTGCTGAATCCTTGATGGACACGCTTGGTTGGCTGCTGCAGTATATTTACAGTAACTGTTGTTTTAGTACCGTTACGGCCCTGGGGATTGACGGGCTCAGCTAAGCTGTCTAGAGGCTCTTGTGTGGTTGCCGGCAGGCAGTGGCCAGGCTGGGTGATCGAAAGCCTGACAGCTGGAACCCAGGCATGCAACAGCTGGCGCTGCACGGCTGGAGTTCCTCCGGCTTTCCCCTGTCTCCCCGGGTCTCTCCAGCTAGCCTCTTTCTTCCAGAATATACACTTATGATAAAGAACAAATACAGTAATTTCACTTTTAAGGTTCACAATTCATTAGACTTCATTTTATACAGTGCTTTTACTTTATTGCCTAATTGCTGTTAATTTTGCCTTCATTAATTTTCGAGATTTCATTTCAATTGGTTTTAAAGTGTTTTTTTTTTTTTTTAAATTTATTGATTGACTGATTGATACATACAAGCACTGGGCACAGTCAGAAGCGCGGGAGGGTGACAGAATTCACCAGAGCGGGGAGCAGAGCAGGCAGAAGGACCGAAGCACACTGCTGAGGGGAGCAGCGGGCGGCAGGAGAGGTCTGCGCGCCATGTGGGACCCTCCTCCAGTGACCGGGGAGCAGCTGGGGATCGAACCGGCGCTGCAGAGGCTGCGGGCAGCTTCGCAACCCAGCGCTCAACCGCTGCGCCAACGGGGAGGCCCTCAATTGGTTTTTAAATGATTTTCTCTATCAGCTGGTAACACACTAGAATAACTTGCATGCCACACTTCTATATTTATGATCATGCTTTAACGTGATCTGACATTTACACCTTTTTGCACTTGAAATGACATTTCACTCATGATGTGCTGTTAGGAATTGGGAGGACTAAATCAGCTCTTCCCAAGGTCAGTAATAATTCAGTAGGCGTTGTCACTGCCTCACTTTCTTAGAAGACAGTGTTGCTTGACTATCATTAGTTTGACTTTTCTGTGAACTTGAAATATTTCATAATATCATCACTGGGGAGGGGGCGGAATCCAATTAATGAACATCCAATATCTGTAAAGCCTACAAGGATGCTTCTGGGTAGGAAGCATCTGGGACTTTCCAGGACCCCCAGCTGCAGCCCTGGCAGGGAGGTAGTGATGGAGAGCCCCCACTATGGGGACAAGTGACCTGGGTTTGAGTCCCGCTCTCTCCCCGGACGGTCTTTTCTCAGGCATGTGGTTGAGCTCTGAGCTTGCTTTCTTGTCTGTTCTGTGGGACAACTAATGAGTCTACATCAGAGTTGATGGGAACAGAGAAGGCCGAGTACTCCTATGTCTAGGACTTAAGAAATAAGACCCTGGGGCCTCCCTGGTGGCACAAGGGGTTAAGCACAGCACTGTGAAGCAATCTGCAGCCACTGCAGCACAAGTTCAATCCCCGGCCAGCCAGGGAGCTACCCACATGGCATAGCAGACCTCTCCTGTCTCATCCGCTGCTCTTCTCAGTGGTGTATTTCAGTCAGTCTGCCTGTTCTGCTCCCCACTGTCTCTGGTGAATCCTCTCACCCCCTGTACCTCTGGCCTGTACCCCAGTTCTTGTATGCATAAATAAATAATTTTTTTTTAAAAAGAAGACCCCATGGTAATAAAAACTAATCGATTTTAGTTCTTAGGGTGAGGATCTGATCATCTGAAAGGATTAGGAACTTCAAGTGAGATGCCCTCTGTGGCTTCACTTTGGGGCAAGGGGAGTGGACGCATGTACCTCAGAGTCCCCTCCAGACTCTGCCAACCACCTTCTGCACTCATTGAATGTGAAGCCCTCAGGGAATGCAAGCCAGCAAGTTGCCAAGGCAGTGCCCAAAACTCCAGCCAACACCCGTGTAGACATAGGCACCGTTAAGCCCAAGCATCTCACTGGTGGGATCTGGGGTGCATTTTTGCCTGCCTGTCCACGTTTTTTACATTTATATTTGCACATATGCCAGGTGTTCCCCAGAAGGGTGCCATTTAAAAATGTATCTTTATTGCTGTGTAGCTGACATCCAATAAAACGCGCACATTTCAAGTATAACCATCACCACAGCCAAGACGCCGGCCATTTGTCCCTCCAGAAGGTTCCCCTTTCCAGTGAGACACTCCCGCCCCCCCCAAAGGCAACCACTACTCTGCTTCCTGTCACCTTTTTCAGAATTTCATATAAATGGAATC